CCCACGCCTGCACATCCCGCTGATGGGGCACCTAACAGGCTTGACACAGAACGCCTTTGAGCCGATGCCATGCTGGATGAGCTGGAGGAGATGCAGTTGCGGGATGCAAAGCTAAGAATGCTTGTTTGACGTCTTGTGAGATGTGTTCTAGTGAACACTACCGTAGGGCGAGCTGCGGGTCGGAGAGTGCCTATATATGGAGGGTTATGAGTCCAGCTCGGCGAAACCATGAGGCGTTACAAGATGGACTAGATAAGCCGTGAGGGGGCAGCGACTTCGAACAGCTCAGCTGCGCATGTCCTGTGTCCTAATAAGGGACCTGCCTACCGGAAACATACTTACGTAAAGACCGTACTTACTTACAATGACAACCGACAAGCCTGGAACTAGCACCCTCTGGGTAAGGTGCAGGCTTCGACCGGTCGGGTTTATACAAGCCTTTCAAATACAGATCACGCTTGAGACAACTCTGGGGCCCTGATCGAGAAACGAGTAAAAGTGGCTGGCCAAGGAGGACAGCCAGGTTGTGATAGATACAACTAGCATTTTAGCAACTCATTAATTACTGAAAAAAAACCAACAAGTTAGTCATAAGGTATGTGATACGTGTCACGGGCACCTATTCCGTTGCGCCATAGGGCAAAAGATCTGGGCCTTGGTCGCAATAGTTGTAGTCAATTAGGTGGGCAAGCTGCCCTATAGAGCCCATCGCTTACGGGTCCAAGTCGTAACAAACCGACTCGATTATCAAGTACGTTACTAAGACCAAGTTACACTGTTAGTTACTAAATCACAACCTTGCCTGATGATATCCCGGTTGCTGTGGCAATGTATCTCACCATCCTACAGTCGACTTAACCTTGCTCTCCATATGGCCGTTGGCGAAGAAGTCGAGTCTGCGGCTAGCTAGACATGCGAGCATCAGAGCAAAGCGGTTCCTAACGGTAGGGTTCTGCTCGGGGGAACGAGAACGTCAAGCTTCAGTCCAGGATTGATGAACTTACCACCCTAGTCCTGGACTTGACGGCCTCTTTCACGCAGCTCGAGAGCAAGCAGAGAGCTGGAAAAAGTCACCCAAGCTCCAACACTACTCGTGATGAGACTTTCTGAGAGGTCCCAACCAACAGGGCCAAGGTCAAGGAACCATCCTCAGACAAGTCGAAGCAGCCGACCCGGGTTCCACACCGGGCCATTCCGACAATTTCCCGCCGTGGAGTTCATGATTGGGATGTCACCACGGAAGGCTCTCAGGACCGCGTCGAGATTGCCGGAATCCCAGACACTTTTTGGGATGGAATATCTCCATGTAAGCCAAACGCTATTTCTAGTGGCTGGGGCGATCCTGTATCCTATCAAGGCCACCAGAACTGGACAACAACCCGGGAGACACCACTTTCGAGCCGCCGAATGGCAGAGGACAGCAACCAACAGGGCAGGAAGACCAGTTCTCCTGAGCAACACATTTAGCGTGCCTGCGATCGGTGGTATCGATCGGTGGATTGGAACACTCGCACGGCGGTATGATGTGAGGGGGACGAGACGCGCCTTTAATAGCCTACCCTAGCTGTTTCGGATGCCAACATCGTGGAGCTTTGATGTGTTGGTGCGGCTTATAGGAAGAGTGGTTTCGATTTCAGAGACTGGGCCCTCTTGCGACTGGTTCAGGAGCAGTGGAATACCTACGGTTAGTCAGGCGAGAATCAAAAATGGTGACCGCAAAGCAGTGAGAGAAAGCAAACAGACTTGTCCATAGTTCGCAGGAATTGCTAGTTTACTCATCCTTGAAGCAGCCACCTCAGCCCGTCTATCATCTTCTTCTCGGCGGCTAAAGCCTGAGGTAAGTGTGGAGCCTTCAACCAGTATGTGTGAGGCCAGCCCACTTCAATCTCCACTTGAGCCTCAACGCCGGCTTCTCTTAAGGCCAATACATAACAAAGTCCATCCGAGTATATCGTGTCGTTTGAACAGAGCTGTACCCAAGTTCGAGGTTGGCCCTGCAGTTCCTCCTTTGTAACTTCGAGTGGCAGTCTCTCGAGGCCATCCCTTGGAATATCTCGTCGATGGTAGCCATTCAGTGATGTGATGAAAGTAGGTGACACGCTGGTGTGATATGGCCGTAGTCGCTCCGGGATAAATTTCATGCCAGTAGGCACATCAGCCGTAACAGGGCATCTCAGTAAGAGTCCATGGATGGAACCCTTAGGTGCCGCTTGAGCTATCGCCGTAGCCATCTGCCCGCCACTCGAGCTGCCCGCAACAATTACTCTTTTTGCGTGCGTATGGAACGCTTTGAATCCATCCATACAGTCCGAAATGCATGTATTTGCAGGATTCAAGGGTAAGAGTCGATAACCGACGGAGTACAGGCGGACTCTCCCCACGCCAGATTTGACAAGGCGTCGACAAGAGAGTTCTTCGCTATCCGCTTCGCCGAGTCTAAGACCACCTCCGTGATAGTAAATGATGACGATCTCGGGATCTCGACTTTGATGTTCAGCAAGTTCCAGCTGAAGAACAGGAATGTTGAACCCATCCAGAGAAGCCGTAATCGTGAACCTTTTCCTAGAGATTCCTTGGGATAACTCGTAATCTCGTGCTCCGGGTGCCATCATCCGTGCTTGAAAGTCACGGCACTCTTGGGAATAAACGCGCTGTCTCTCCAAGACAGAGCTGAAGGTCTGGGGAGGCCCTCTCTTGACCTCTTCCTCATACTCCAGCCATGCGGCGTCCAACGGGGGCGCGGTCTTGAAGGCAAATGCCTCGAGTTCAGGATCAGGAAACGCCATGGTTTAAAAGAAACGAAAGGTCTTTAGAGAAGTCGTTTAAGGTATTATCAAAAAAGTGCTCTTTAAGAGCGAGCTGTGGGAAATAAGCACGAATTCCGGTGGGTATGCACTCTGGCTAAAGACGCATACTGTTAGATATTGAGATGAATTGTGTGTGTATTTTTGGTTGCAGCAGTCGATTCATGGAAATTGTCTGAGGAGCCCGAACTCCATCACAAGATGCACTGAACTGTGCAGCTCTTTATACACAAATGAAAGAGTTGCCTGTTCTAGGCAAGGTAGCTGCTCTAGTGGGGCCAGGGCTGGATATGTGACACTTCCTCTTTCAGCACATATTCAACATATACAGAGCCACACGTGGCGGCAATCTATTTCGGTGGCTCCGTTTGAGGTCTCGCAACCCCGGGATGAAAAACTTGACCTCGCTTCTCTATGTATCATGGCCTTGATATTCTAGGCAGGAAGTGAAAAGTAAACATTGAAGTGGGCGTTTTCATAGTACTGGAACAGTTTGGGTGTGTTGCTTAGGCACCTTGGTTAAAGAAATTTGCAAGGGAACTGCCTCAATCAGAAGCCCGTCACTGGTCAAATAAATTATTGACTCACTTCCCATATAGTTGCACCAATACAGCTTATCGCTTTCATATAGTTGAGAGCATACCGCACACCGCATCAACGGGAATGTGTCTCCATAGGCGCGCACATAGGGTGTGTTCTTTCGAATAAATACATCCCGTCTCGAAACTTCCATGGAAGGCTCCTAAAGATGATGAAAGGGTTGATTCGATGTTACCGTCATTTCATTTGAGACCTCCAATAGCATCCTCAAGCAACCAAGACAGACTGACGGAACCACCGACTGGTCCTTGAATTTGTCGATATAGGTCCAGCCGAGCGGGGACAGTTAATTATCGGGCCTCCGAATGCAACTTACTTGGAAGTCAATCTCTTGGGCCATTGCTATAGACCCTGGCAACAAGAGGCCCCAGCTGGCACCATGCATCCTGCTGCTCGTCCCGTCGAGTTTTCTGCTTTCGCTCAGATGCGTCAGTCGCTTCCGCAGTGCAGAAAATCTTCATTGGTTACATGCGATGCACGCCGCATAAAGATATCAGCCGTATTACAGTTTCGACCATCCATGACATTAATAAGTCTGCCGTCGGAAGTGCAATGGAAAACAACGATGTGCTACGACGTCGTTCATGAGGAATCATGTCCTGACTGTCACATGGTCCGTCCCGGTGCACCCACGAGCCCAATTTAATGTCCACTTTAAAGACACTACAGCCTCGGAATGAACGTTGAGCTTTGCAAAGTGGGGATTAAGCTCATCTACAGTTTTCTTCTTTGTGTTATTCGCCAGTGTATGAGTAATGTCAATGATGAACTTCCAATTAGAGATCCAAGCAAGGACTATTATTTTAGCACCATTCCAACGTCTACGCGGAGGGGTTGACGTCCGAGAACCCCTCGCTACCCCAGACGCGCGCCGAGGGACGACCCGATGATCCTGGACCCGGAACAATCGGTGGAGGACTGGGAACGGAGAACTAGGGAAGAAACTAGTAAGATAATAGATAGCAACCCACTAGATAATTACGGAACCTAAATACCAAGCCGGCTATTTCCTAGTCCCGTCTGAAGACCCCTGTCGACTAACAAGCAGACGGGACCACCGACAGCCAATGAGCATGCCCATGCAGGTTTTCTTATCACAGAGGAGGTAATACGCGGAACCACCGCTTGCTACCGCTACCCCGCTTTGCCCCGGATCAGCCATCCATCCCCAGCTGGGGAGCATGAACTCATCCGGGACAGCGTGGAGTGTTGTTTGCCGATAAAGGGGCTGGGCGTAACTAATAATTAAATATATATCGAGCTAAATTGCCCTCGGGTTTGCCTTTATAGAGACGACAGATGATCATTGTCATATTTCATTACAGCTTCTTTACTAATACTTACTGCACAGCTCGAACCAACTCTCTACGATGTCGACCCGAAACGCCTCCGACACTCGAGGTCTCACTTGGTACAATTTCCTTGCAGTCTCCTGCTTCTCCATGGGAGCTATCTTCTGGGGGTGCGTGACGATTCCCTCTCCCTTAATTCGGCGGATACAGACGAGATAGGGCTGACTTTCGTACATATAGCTACGACATCGGAATTCTCTCTACAGTACTTGTTGCCCCTGTGTATTTAACAGCGCTCAAGAATCCCAGTTCCGGCGAATCGGGGCTCATCGTGGCCATCTTTTCAGTTGGTACGGCTAGTCTAGTCTGTGCGTCTGATGTCTCACCGCTGACCTGTTATATTAGGTAGCTGGTTATCGTATGCGTTCGTGGCTGGTCAGGTCAATGACTGTCTAGGTCGACGCTGGTCTGGTGTTACTGGTGTTGCTGTGCTCTGCGTTGGCGCTGGGCTTCAGGCTGGCGCCGTTCACCTTGCAATGATGGTCATCGGTCGCTTCATCGCTGGAGTTGGAACCGGCATTGTGGCCACCGCGGTGCCGCTGTATCTCTCTGAGACCAGCCCAGCGCGCCATCGAGGTGCGATTATCACGTTAAATCAAGTTGGTATTATACGACGCCTTGTTCTCCGCTACCACAAAAGAGTTTAAATTTGCTTACCAAGCCTTCAGTCGTTAGGGTAAGATATTCCTCCACTTGAAAAACTCATATTCTGTCACTGACTTTGCCAAGTATCTCCATCGCCTTCTGGATAGGGTACGGCTTCAGCTTTTGGAGAGCAGGCAATGGCGAGAGTTTGGGGTGGCGCCTTAGCATCTTCATTCAATACGTCCCAGCTGTCATATTCTGTGTTGGCGCTCCATTCCTTTGCGAAAGGTTCGAGCTCCTGGTTCTGTCTCAAATTGTCAATCTACCACCTCTGGCCTCCCTGCTGACCTATGCCTCTTCAAGTCCTCGTTGGTTGCTCGAACATGATCAGCTTGAAGCTGCTGCGAAGGCACTCACTCATTTGCGTGGAAGTGATCGCCCCGAGGTCGTCCAGGCCGAATTGGAGGAAATCCGCGCGAGTATTCTCTAGCATAAGGAGAACTCTATCTCCGATGCTAAAGTCTTGATCAAGGACAGGGCACTCTGGGCTCGTCTATGGGGAGCGTGGGCCCTCCAGTTTCTGCAGCAGTTGAGTGGTGCAGGTGGCATTCGGTCAGTCTCGCGTCCTCATTATGACTGCTTATCATCGTTCCGCTGAGCTATCTAGTGGGATAGTACATAGTGTACCAGCCCTTTCATTATCCTAGCTCTTCAATGTACTAACCCATCCGTATCCCAGCCCCTCCATTGATTGATTGATTGATTGATTGATTGATTGATTATTCATAGTCTGTCCCAGCCGCCATTTCGGCAGCTATGCAGCGTTCTGCTATAAGTACAAGGTCAAGGCCGCCCACGTTCGGCGCTCAGGATTGAACTCCACCCCACCATGAAATGTCCTGCTCCCACAGGCCGTTCACATATCGAGTCTCGTCCTCCTATCTGCCTCCTCGTGGGCGATCTCTCGCTGGTTTATACATATAGCCATCATAAATGTTCTGTGTCTCTGACTTGTCAGGCCATTCTCAGCCGTCCTTTGCTTCTGTTTAACCGTAATCACTCGTCTGCGCTGCTGTGTTGTCTTGTCGTGGATGGTGATCCAGAAACCAAATCCGTGGGATCCATCCTATGTTCGTTCTGTTTGTCTGTACTTCTATCGCCGGGCTGCAGAGCGCTTGCTGCCCACTGCAATAGTTGCTTGTCTTGGGTGCGCTGCATGGAGTGCAGATGTTCTCGTATGGAAGTACTTGAAATGCAAGGGGCATGCTCGTTGATGTTTCTCGGGCGGTGCTTGCTCCTGACACCGTAGACATCATCAGCGGTCAGACACGTCGCAAGCGCGTCTTTTGCATCGATGGTGTGCAAGGGTGTAGGCTAGCTGTGCATGTTGCAGCATATAAAGTGTCTTTAAAGAAGAGTTCTGAGCTGTGTGTGGTGTTGGTACTGGTGTTGTGTAGACTCGTTCAAATGTGATGTTGTGAAGCGAAGTTTTCGCAATGCTTGTTCAATGTGTTGTCCTGTCCATCTCGACCGTTTTCCACTGCCGTCCTGGGGCTGTAGTATTTGGTGTTTCGGGAGGTTGAAGAGTTGATGCCGTCGCGTCATGTCGATGGAGATTGGCCGTCCGTCCCCTACTCCGCGTCGCTGTCACGTATTCCTCGATATTCTGTACCGTAAACTATTGTCGGGCAGGAACAATGGGGCAACCAAGTCCATTTTCCATCCTGGGGCGTACTCGAAAGGGACGCAACCCCCTTTGCTGTGCTGTGGCTGTGAAGTTGGTGTTTCGTGAGATTCAGAAGTTACTACTTTTGGCGCAACGGCGCGTCGCTCAGGGAGGATGACCGTGTTCTCGCGATGTGTTCGATGCTGTTCGGTGTGTTCGATGTTGTTCTGACGATATCCTTCTTCGTCCCGTGTGCCTCGGTCACGTAATCCTCGACCTCCGATGCCGTAAACTATTGTCGGGCAGGAATGATGGGGCATCCAAGTACATCTTCCATCATTTGGCGTACTTGACACCCATGCACGTTTACTTGCCCTGTCCGGCCGGCCGAGCAAAACATCGTACCAGCAACAAAGTCTTCGTACAAGGTAGCGGATGAAATGCCGTCTTGAACGTGACGTAGGCGGCTTGGATACATATTTCTCTATTTAACTCGTGTTCATAATTGCTTTCCGGTAACCTTTTTGTTTCTGTCAACTACACCACTTATCAACTTCTATTCCTGGGCTTAACTCTAATCTTCAACTCACTTTCCAATGCCAGAAACAATATACTCGATGCATAGCCCCTATGTCGGCACGCACCGGGCCTCGCCAGACGACGAGGATGTTGCGCAGTGGAGATGTCAATAACAAGAACGCGAACAAATGGCCCCAAACCCAAGGCTACCGCAGTGGACACGATGAAGGCTTTGATCCCCGGAGCCATTACGATCCTTGCTATCTTTTGGATCAACGCATCCCACATCTTTGGTCTCTTCCATAATCAAGGCGAATACGTCAAGCAGGCGAAAGCTGCCCTTGCTGACTTCGGTGGTGGTGACTTCGGTACAGCACTGCGGATTGCGGCAGGGGCGAACAATCAATCCTACGAGTTCCCGACCTATATCAACGTCGATGCCTCAACATCTCCAGATCAGATCAGGCAGGATGTCTTCGATGGGAAGTACTGGGCCGCGATTGTCGTCCAACCGGGAGCAACGGCTCGATTTGACGAAGCTGTCAACGGCACCACCCCTTCATACGATCCTAACGATGTCTACACCTACTATCTCTTGACAGCCAGATACTACACGTTGTATGCCGGTGGCATACAGTCATCAAGCATCACTACCGCAGGCGCAGCCGCCGGAATATTCAGCGCACAATTTATCGGACCCAAACTTGGCAGCGGCGAATTCGCAAACACAACCGTATCCCTGAGCGCGCTGACGACTCCAGCACGAGCTGTCGGTGCCAGTGCATCGATCCACAATTTCAGCGACATGGACGATAAAGCCTTCAACACCATTGGGGCCGTCTTCCCAATCCTGATGCAATTTTTCTTCATCATGGCTTGGAACGGTATTTGCAACGGTATGCATCTCTACGCCGCCTACGATGTCAAAACGCATATCTCCGCCCGGCTCTTCTGGAGTATCTTCTGGCCTCCTCTCATTTGTGGTCTCTGTTCCACAGGCTGGATGTACGCATTCCGCGGCTCCTACCCCTTGGACGCAAAGATGTTTTTCGAAACCTGGGCTGCCACTTGGATGTTTGCCATGATCAGCTTCGATGTCTTGGACGTTATCACTGGCTTCGTGCCCATTACGTTTGTCACGTTTTGTTTCCTAACCTGGGTTGTTTTCAACGTCGCTGCTGCCATCGGTGCACCTGACCTCCTCGACAACTGGTATCGCATTAATTACTTCTTCCCGTCGCTACATTGGTATCAGACCCTCATCACAATTATCACGTCTGATGCTGTCAACAAGCTGCATTACACTCTGCCGACGCTTGCAGGCTGGCTTATTTTGATGAAGGCTCTGTCACCATTTGCAACCAGGTACCGGATCAACAAGGCGAAGCACGTGTTCCGGTACTTGCACGAGAAGGATGCCCTCGATGCTCCACACTAAGTTTCTTTTGTATGCGTTTTTTCTTCCTATTTGAGAGCGTTCTGGCGTGCGGTTTGGGAGAATATAGATAAATTATAGACCATTTCCAACTTTTGGTAGTATCCCCGATATATTTTCACTTGTCGATCGAAGGAGAAAATTTCGCAATAGAACCATATAATATTAAGATATTTGCAAAAGGGGGGGGAAAAAAGGCATTTAGTGAAGGAATAATTAGGACACTGCTATTATCTGTAGTGCTAACATTAATATAATTAATTAATAGCGACTTTGGCACCAGTCTCAGAAGGGAATAGGATATCTCGAAAAATATCGCTGGGGCGTTCACTATCGGCACCGGCATGCAACCGGGGTTCAGGTGCATTAAATATAACCCTCAATAAACACTAGGCGGCCGCTACTGGCACCGGATGTGACTTTACTTCTAACAAGGAGGAGATAGAAGATTGTTTGGTGGCTACCTTCAAGGCCTCTACCACCAAAATCGACGACATGATGAGGATTCCCCTCAGAGGAGAAGGCGATACTAGTACCTTCCCCTACCAGAGCAACTTCTATCAGACTCACATTTCCAGCTTCTTTGCCAACCGCTTATGGCTCGTTGACGATGACAACGCCTCTTTCCGTACTGCCATTGGGAATGGAAAGACGTGGATGTTGAGACTAGAACAGTCAAATCTTCCTTGATAGTCACTAACGTAGAAACAACAAAAACCGGAGACTCGTCGATATTATCCTCAATGGTGACATAACAACTCATCTGATCGGCATACTACCGTGGAGAATGAGGAAGACTGCACTAAGAAGGGCAAACGTTACCTCTGGCTCGATGCAAACGGCGAAGACCACTGCCTCTACCTGACTACACTCAACGGCGGTCATGGATGCATCGGAGGAGTGTGCAAGAAAGATCCCATTGACTACGCAGCTACTCAGTTTAATCTCGATATTGGCAACAAGCTCTATGACTATATCACCATATAAGGAGTTAGTCTTGCGGTATGTGCGATACCAGACGCATTAGGAGAGCTTGCTTTACTAACAACGCTTCACAGATTTACTACAACAACCTCATTGACTGCTCCATCAACGGCTCGCCGGGCCCGGACCGCACCAACCCGCCGCTTGATTGTTCTCTCCCCGGTTGCTTCTTTAACATCCCGGCATGCAAGGCCTCGTTTGGTAGCTTCCATAAGACTGAGATCTACCTGCTTTCAGCTGTCACCAGCCAGGCCCTTCACAACTTCCAACATGAGTCTTCGATAGTCTATAAAACTAGCTTAGAATTAAGCCTCAGTCTCTCACCATTCTTCATAAAATACCACGGAATTGGAATCATTGCAATTGTAAGAAAGGCTAAGAGGCTGTTTCCCCAGCCTAAGCCCAGAGATTCATACATTCGAGGTCCTGCGAGAGGTAAAAACGCCGCAGTGACAGACCGCAGCACTGTGTGAGCGGCGAGGGCAGATGCTGCAGCTTCTGGGCCAAAGCAGTCGACGAGATAGATCATCGAGGGCATCTAATGATTTGTGTGAGTTGATAGAACGGCCTATGGTAGGCAGAAAAGTCATACGTGGGTGGACTTACCACGACGAAGATAAAGCCAATACCAACAAAAGCCGAGCCAATAATAGGCACAATCCAATGTGCTTTTTCATCGGTACTCCAGCCATACCAGAACATTCCTACAGGTATAGTCCAAGACAAGTAAGCCATCAACGGGATTCGATCCTCGGGCTTGGGCTCTCCACCTCTCTGTTCTGCACGTTTACGCATAATGTTGTCACTGAACTTGCCTTGGGCGATAAGGCCTCCAAGTGTGCCGACTCCCATACCAAGGTAGCAAAGGCCGGTAATGCCCATGTCGAAATCATACTGACCACTGAAGACATTTGAGAAGGTGGTTAGAAGTAGAAACATGAGACCAAAGCAGAACGCTGCGTATAGAGCGAGGAAGAGGACGACAGGCGATAGAAAGAGAAGTTTGAAGGGTCGTAAAATGCTTCGCTTTAGCTTTGCCGAAACATCTCTTCCGGCAGAGACTAGAGGAAGCCCCAGGGACATTCGGCGCTGATTCTCTTTCTGCAAGAGGATCACGGGAGCATATGTCTCCCGCAGGGTATACGCAGCCAAAGGGATAAGGGCCCCGATCTCCAAGCTTCTTAGTCAAACATTCCAAAAAGACACTAGAAGTGCTCGACTCACACATATAGCCATAAGTCGAAATACCCAACGCCATCCTATGTTTTGGCCCACAAAGCCACCGACCACCGGGCCAATGGTTGGGCCCATAATAGGTCCAATGGCAATGAGAGCCATCCACTTGCCCCTTTGTTGCCTAGGAACCAGGTCTGCGAGGGTTCCGCCGCTCAAAGCGAGAGATGCAGCACCGCCACAGCCGGAAAGCAATCGAAAGACCATGAACATGGCAAGGCTTGTTGAGAAGGCACACCCAAGGACAAACCCGATAAAGATGATGGTTGATATTATGTAAATGGGAATGCGACCGTAGACCTCCGACAGAGGAGCCCATATGAGCGGACCGATAGCGAAACCGAGGACGTAGATGGAGACGGAGAGGGATGATAGGGTTCGGCTAGAGAAGTCAAAGTCGTGCATTAGAAGCTTGCCGGCTGGGGCAAACATGGTCGATGCAAGGTTGCTAACATTGTCAAAAGCTTGGTTCATGTACCAAGATGGGGGGACTCAAGAAAAAAGATGGATTACTTACGAGACCAACTGAACCAACGCAATGAGAATAATATGCGCTGTCCTCTTCCGCGGCGGCCAGTTCATAGGGTTGTCAGGGTCCTCTGGTCCGTCCCAGTCTAGAGCGTCTGGGTCATCTTTTTCGAACTGTCGTTGAGTTTCGATATCGTCACTTTGGCGTTCTGCTATCGGCGGAGAATCACGACGAACTTGGTTTGTTTCATCTTGTTTCGCCTCGAGTAAGCGAGGAGTAGCGCTGTTCTGCTGTATTGATCTCATGGTGTTTATGATCACAAGGCTGTATAGCACGCATGTGCATTGAAAAAGACATCGACACACAGGAAGTCACGGATGCAGGTTGCAGGCATTATACACGAATTCCTGTCTTCGTGTCGACTGTCATCATCTCTACGGAGTAGTTTACTCACTTACTGGAGAGTTCCGAGATTGAAGGTGGCGGCGGCTCTCTGTCTGTGACGAGAACCGGTCACTGCCATTGGTGGAATAATCCCCTGGGACTCGGCGCTTCGGTCGTCGGTCCTCGCTTCTGAGTTTCGGCCGTTGGCCTTCGGTTCTCAGAACCGCTGTTCTGTGCTAAATTGGCAACACAACCAAAGACAGTAATGATCGACACGGCACTTCTCGTTTCCTTTTCGACAACGCAATAATTATTCGGTGATCCTTGGAGGCAGAGGCTCCCAATGAAGGAGGCAGAAAAGTAACAACGTCAATTGAATCAAGTGCGGAAAGCTCGGTGGTATGATATCTCGATACATATGTCAACAACTAATGATATAATTATGCTTCTTGTAACAGTGATGAATAGTAAGTAGCTTGATTCAAAATCGAAAAATCGAAGAACACATGGAGTCGAAAAGGTGATATCTCGGCTTCCTCACATCGTCGCCCTCGTTCATAAAGAGGAGCCTATGCCGCCTGCCGCCTGCCGCCTGCCGCCTGCCGCCTCAGCTCATCACTCACGCAGATGCTCATCAAACCACACAATTGCCTGGTAGAAAGCCTGCTCCTTTGCCCACTTCTGCTCTCGTTTTGACAAGTCACATCGCGTCGCAAAGCCATGAGCAACTTTGGAGTAAAGTGTCAGCTGGTATTGCTTGCCATTCTTGATGAGGATGTCTTCCGTCTCGTGCCGTTTCTCGGCCGGGAAGATGTGGTCCGTCTCAGCAGCCGCAATAGAAACGGGACCGTTAATGGCAGCGAGCTCACCAGCGTCCACAAAGCTGGGATGGGCCAGGTAGCCGGCGTCAATGCCGTCATTCCAATGACGAACAAGATACTACACAAATGGTCAGGATATGTCACGCCCTATAAGTGCAAGGGTCAATTTCTCCTTGAACTCACCTTGGCACCAAAACAATACCCAACAGCTCCCAGCTTCTTTACTCCATACTCCTCCCTCAAAACTTTGATGGCATCCAGAACAATAGGATCAATAGCTGGTTCATTATGTGGGTTGTCACCCGTGGAGCCGCCCGCAAGCCACTTGGAAATGTCTACCTCGTCATTTACAACTGCCCTTACAGGTAAGGGATCACCGTTGAAAGTGTCGAGCAGTAAGGTCAAGTAGCCGTTTGACGCAAACTCGTCAGCAAGGAGACGACTGTTTTGCCAGATACCCATAATGTCAGGTAAAAATAGAATGGCACTGGACTTTTTGGCCTTGTCTGGTGGCGGTGTTGCAAGGTAGGCTTCATGCTTACCGCCGGTGATGCGTATGGCTTTACCCTGTGGGGCACCTCTGATAAAGATGAGTTGGAATAATTCTCAAGGTAATGTGAAAAATGGAACAGGAGTCTTACTCATGTCTAAAGCCAACTGTGCAACATTGTGCGGGAGGATAAGAAGTCATCTCTCGTTATGGTGAGGGGGTACGTTTGGTAACGTTAGGTTTTCCGAGACTTTGAAAAGATCCAAAAACAAGCTTCGGTACGAAATCCGATATACGAGAAGTTCATGCTGGGTTGGGGATGAGGGTGCCTTTAATGGAGATTGCATCAAGGGTCAATCCAATATCAAGTTCCGCCTGGTCTGCTTAATGTTTTAGGTGCCTCAGGCACATCCCTCTCATCATTTAATAAGCAGCAGTAGAGTGGATTTGAATTGCCGATGTCCGTACTACCTACGGCTTTATACCCTGATGGTGTTGATTCACCTACCTGCTTTGGGAAGTCTTGTCCGTTCCGAAACATCACTAATTCCGACGATACATAAGCTCTCCTGCGGCTGGTAATAATTCTGGGACTTGAGAATCTCCTCCCGAATACGAATAGTGGCGATAGCATTGTGCATGGACGTTTCTTATGTAAATCTACAGAAGCTTCTTACTCAAAATGCCCACTGATCCCATAACACAGACTGTTCACTGGTGTTAAAAATTTCATCCCACTGAGCCAATTTAGAAGATTCAACATTCTCAGATGTCTTTTCAGTCATGTTCTGCTCCTGTGACCCACCCGCTGATTGCTCCAACCCCGTTGGTGGATGATCCTCTTCACGATGATAAATACTGGTAATGGCATCCATGGCTCCCATGACTATATCTGGGTTGTTTCCTTGCGTCAAAAACCAGTTCTGGGAGCGCCATTCTAGGCTCGGCGTACTTGCTGCCGAGAGTGCAGTGGGCAAGTAATCTTGCTCAGACCTTGGAAGATCGTTCGGCACCATCCCTGGAAGTGTGCTCCCACCACTCTTACCGGGTTCTGGTTCTAGGGTTATTGGTGTGCGCGTATAATTTGATGGGTTATGGTGTTTTCGAATATCCGCAGATGGTCTGCTCTTGACTTGCTGGAGCCGCCTCCTGTTCACACACTGAATAAGATCAAACAGCGGTTGCCAGAGTGGTTCTTCCTTGATGGATTCTGTGCATGTCTCCAAAGTTGTCATGACGACCTTCCAAGCATGTTCTGCCATAGCATCGAATTCTGCAACGGAGAGCCGACAAAGCACTAGAACGAGTGGCTGCCACTGAACGAAACCGTAGAATTGCCATGCCCATCTCCTCGTGGACAGGCCATGCTGGAGCATATGTATGTCTCCGAGAACTCCCAAAGCTAAGATAAATTGCTTATCTCTTTCAAGAGAATTGTCCTTGGCTTGCAAGGACGGCTGTCGAATGTGATTCAGTATGAGTTCATGCCGCCTCACCGCAATAGCTGCCATTGTGCGAGTGAGAAGGCATATCGGTTGTTCTGGCGGTACAGGAACGAGAAATTCCGCAAACTCCCGTTGAGAATATTGGGAAAGCCCGTCGAGCTTGTGAATCGTGTCGACATCGGGTTCCTGACGGCAGGGGTACATGGAAGCCGTCACGGTCTTGACATGCTTGCTAACCTTTGTTATTCTATTTCTCAACAGGCATAAGGTTGTTTGTGTGTGTCCTGGTTTAGCTTCTGGTAAGGCTGTCATTTCTTGGTGTATGTCATCGTCGTCTAGATTCGATGGGAGGCGTGTGTCAAAGACAGCGTCGGATATTGATATTCCTGGCACCTGGAAGTCACCAGTGGCAAAGTCTAAGACATAGATATAACACCACGCCCGACGCCGCATCTCGGCCTCAAAGGGGGTTATATCAGGAAAATGAGAGCCGTCGCGGTGCAGCCCAATAGCTACTGCTATTCGAGAGATTAGTCCAGTTATAGCCCAGACATATCTCTGAGACTCCTCTAGACGAATGAGAAGGGTGTATATGATCAGGGCTTGGACAACAGAGAGCTCCTTCGTATTGATAAAGTCGGCGCGCGAAAAAGAGTCCTCCGTTCCAAGCCTGAATCGAGATACAAGCTCTTTCTTGTCACAGCGAAAGTGGACTTGAACCTAAACCCAAGCACTAGGTTAGATCAGATAATCCCGACATGATTTGATGTGGCTGGGGTTCTACCTCGTCCTTAGTCAGAGAGTTGACAGCTGCGAATGCAATGCTAAACATCAATGGCTCCATAGAAGATGGTAGCAAGCTGAAATTGCCTCGAGAATCATGAATCATTCTGGAAACAGTCGGAACATGCAGCACCTTGATAGAGGAATCGACATTCTCGACGTAAGTCTGCCAGATGAAGAGCATTTGAGAGGGTAAAGGCCTCAGATCTTCCGTTTTCATCGAGCTCATAAAGCGGTTACTGAAAATGAAGCTGCCTTCACTATTGGATAAGGTCCTATGATTAGATTGAAGGTTAGGTGTATAGATAGAGTCAACATCGTCATCTTCCGAATCAGGTACGTTAATATGGTGTTTTATGGTGTCGAGCTTTATCAAAGTAGTCAACAGTCAATCTACCATATAATTTACTGGAAGCCCCTTCTAACAATGGTATGGAGGAGAATTTTATCTTACCTCTTGTTGCATATCTGCCCAGAAGCCATCGCCGACGTAGAGTCTCCCTCGTTCTTTGCCAACCATGACACCGATATCTGCCGAGTCATTTGAAGGCGTGTAGTGACGCCGCCATGTTGCTGAAGAAGACGCAATAGCCTCACCCTGTTCCATGTCGTCACTAACTGACATCTCACTGTTGGTGAAGTCTTCATCCTGTTCAGTTTGGCTTGCACCGCGCAAAGTGGTCACCACATTCTCCAGCCGACGGATACGATCCATGAGATCAATCTCCTTCTCACTTCGAACCATGGGTTCCCGCCTCATGCGTTGCGGCTGTCGTAGTATGCGACCGGTAGTTGGAAAGACACATTCCCGACCGGCTTTGGTGCAGTTGAAACACGGACGTCGACGGTCACAACGGACTTTGCGTTCCTTGCAGCTCACACAGTTACGCGGTGCTTGTGCCTGGTTCATGGACATGGCTGCAGCTAAGTCCGTGGGGTATAAGTGCTAACAGGATATGAGTTGCAAGACTCGGATGGTTGACATGGAGTTAATGGACGTTGAAAAATGCGGGGGAAAGGTGTCGGCTTTCGGTCGTCGGAGTTTAATTTAACCCTGGCCAGGTTCTGGCCGCGTGGGGAAGTCTGTGTGGTGTGTTAGAATGGACGGACTTTTGGTGAAACCCGAGGTTCCGGATCGCCTAGATCGTATTGTATCTGGACAACATCTAGTACCAAGTCATGTCATAGGCTATTCTAGTCTGTGCGAGGCCTTCTGAAGAATTCTTAACAAGTATCACTTGATATAGGCCGATATAAAAGTGACGCTATCGCCGGCCGTCTTTCTTACTATCCTGTCATTCAATCTTGACTTGTCTTGCCTAGCGCCACGAAAGTTCGCTAGCTTACAACGCGATAAAATTAAACACGTCTTTCAATCCATCACCATGTCGGCCCAAGCCCTCAAAGAGAATCGACTGTTTATCAATGGCGAATTTGTCCCTTCAGTCTCTGGCAAGACCTTTGATTTAACCAATCCTACCACAGAAGAGAATATCGCGTCCGTCTATGAAGCCGGTGCTGAGGATGTAGACCTCGCTGTCAAGGCTGCCAAAGCCGCGTTTCCAGCCTGGTCCGCTCTCTCAGCTGAGGAGAGGTGTGATTACTTGATTAAATTGGCCAACGAAATCGAGAAGAATGAAGAGTTGTTTATGCATCTGGAAGCTATTGCCATGGGCATGCCGCAGTCTGGAACTAAATGTCAGTGATTCTTTTATCTAGACCTCTATATCAGCCTTGGTGGCATGCATCTCACTAACAAGAAAACAGTTGTTGTTCAACTTGCAAAGCGATATCTGAGATACTTCGGAACCCATGCCATTGACATCACTGGAGAAACATCTCTCAATACCACTGGATATATCAACTTGTCCATCCGTCAGCCGTACGGCGTATGCGGAGGCATTATCCCTTGGAATGCCCCATTGTTCATGATTGTCACCAAGCTTGGGCCGGCTCTGGCGGCTGGCAACACTATGGTGGTAAAGTCATCAGAAAAATCCCCCTTCGCGTCGATCGTCGTGGGTCTTTTGTGCCAGAACATCGGCCTTCCCAAGGGTGTTTTGAACATCCTGAATGGGTTTGGTCGACCTTGCGGTGAGGCCATCGCTAAGCACATGGATATCAGAAGGATCTCGTTCACGGGCTCGGTTGCCACTGGACGAGCCATCCACAAGGCCTCTGCCGAGTCTAACTTGAAAGACGTTAGCTTGGAGCTTGGTGGTAAAAGCCCTTTGCTTGTTTTCGACGATGCACCTCTCGAGAAGACTGTCATGGCTGCTGCCTTTTCAATCTTGTACAACTCGGGCCAAGTCTGCATGGCTAGCACCAGGATCTACGTGCAAGATGGGATTGCTCCCAATTTTATTGAAGCTCTAAAGGGCGCATTGACGGAGCTGGGTGTACCAGGAGATCCCTTGCTTGCCAGCACCAAGCGCGGGCCACAAGTTGATAAGCTACAATTCGATCGCGTCTTGTCTTTCCTTGACCACGCAAAGGAAAAGGGTTACGACATTGCACTTGGCGGTAACAAGGCTCTCGATAAGGGCTACTTTGTGGACGCCACAATCGTTCGCGATGTGCCAGAGAACGACAAGTTGATCAGAGAGGAGATTTTTGGACCTGTTCTCGTCATCAACACGTTCACGGACGAAGACGAGGTCTTGAATAAGGCCAACGATACCGAATTTGGTCTATACTCGAGTGTTTTTACGTGTAACCTTTCACGGGCCCTGAGGGTTGTCAAATCACTAGAGGCTGGTGCTGTTGGGGTGAACTGTACTAGTCCATTCATGGCTATTGACATGCCGATGGGTGGCTGGAAGCAGAGTGGTGCGGGAGGTCGTGAGTTTAGCAAAGCGTGCTTGGAGACTTGGACCCAGTTGAAGTCTGTGTTCATCTCCTTATAAGGGGTTTCTTCAACATGGCCGCGTAAAACTTATAAATAGTTTGCTATTGTGATTTCGCGGGTTTTTGGGAACAAGTGGCTTTGTATTGGTAACAACTGCTTGTAAATACCGAAGAATTCAGCGTCTAAGAACTTCCGTCCGGGAGTGAAACGAGGCATTCCAATCCCGAGAAGATGCCCAAGGCTAGTTATCTGGTAATGTTTCCCATTACGATCGTGGATTTTAACCGGGGACAGAAACATCCCAGAGTTTAGGGACCTAGAAATTCGCAATCAAAACAATCGACATGTTCAGCCGAGAAACCTGATATATTCTTTAGGCTACAATTTTAGACGAACCGTCATTGGCTAAGAAGGACCAGATGATGGACGTCTAATAACCTACAGTAGAAGTAGTAATGAGAAAGGGCCTATTTAAAAGTTGGGACAGTGGACAGTCGAATAGCCCCGGTGTTCCCTCTGTTGTTTATATTACGCCGTAGTGCTGGGTGAAAATATATTTTATGAAACTTGATTGTTCATTATTGAGATGAGAGTTCTCGGGTTCATATCTCTAGATGATTTCATCGAGGACTTTGAACTCTAAATCTAGGACTTTCAGACTAACAGTCTGAATCTTGAAGGGAAGGGGAATTCCCGGATTTTCCAACACCAAGACCAGAGTTTTATTTTGCAGGTGTCAATCTGTTCTCCATCATGCGGCAAGAAGGAAAAAAGGCGCTATTGTATGGAATGGTTTAGTGAATAAAGAAGACAGGTGGGCCCAAGACACCAAGACCCAATCCTCTTGTTTGTCATCCGGGAACCACGACGAGGCTGTGAGGCATCGGTGCTACCTTGTCTCAACTAGCCACAATTAATGGATAAAGAGGAATTGAGTTGATTTGGTATGTAGTGACCACCACACCTCTCTAGGTACACTATGCCATTCGAAGTTTATTTATAGCCACAACTTCTCCTACCTTTGACACATCTCCGCTGTGACCTCACAAGCCACATGGTCTACCAATTTTCCTGTTGCGACATACAAAGCAAAAGTCGCCGTCAAAAGTCGCCGCTTAATGAACGGCTAAACAAGGAATTGAGAGTGTATCCAATCAGAAGAAAAGACAGGAAGTCTCCGTTTGTGACTATATGGCATGGATCCCGGAGATTCGGGTCGTATACGAAGAAGCAACGGCAATGATTGGTGGATTTCAGTTTCGAAACCATCCCTAAGTAACACCTAAATTATTCCACTGAAACCTCAGCTAGTCGCTTTACCGAACCTATGCGCTATTCCCAGCACAGATCATATGTTTCCCCCTTTGTTATGTAACAGTTGTTTCGGATTTTTTACACGCCTTCTACCAACCAGCACAGACACCTTGAAGCGGGCACTCACTCAGCATTTTACAATACATATAGTATCTCACCGGCCCTTCTTTACCAACCACTCATTCCATTCATACCTCTGCCAAGCCTCAACTATACACCCTCAAGATGAAGACTTTCGCGACACTCGGCGCCCTAGCAGCGCTCTTTCGGCAAGCAGCTGCCAATCTCGACGTCGTTACTCTGTTCGCCAAAGCCGACGCTTACATCCAAGAAGCTTCCGCGACACTTGTGCTAGGAGATATTCCCAACCCCATCACTGGAGATGTTGCTCTTTGGAGTGCCATCATGATGCAAAACCAAGACTCTTTCTTGCAAGGCGTTACCCAGAACTCTCCTGAAGGGTAGGATAACAAATGCCGAGTTTTATTGTAGCAGAGCGCTAAGCCTTAACAGACTCGGGTATTGCTCGAACCTTGGCAACAAGTGGTGCAGCTTTGCGTATGCGCTCATCAATGGCAGTAAGTATCTTGGCACTCCTCAAGCTTAAGCAATTGCGAGTACTAACCAATGTTCTCTTACCAGGCTCTCAGGCCAAGAATGGGACCCCAGTCAAGGCCTCTCCCGGATCCCGAGTTACGACTCATTGTACGCGAACCTTCCAGAATCATCGACGAATCTTGAACTAATGCGTATTAGACAAGCTCAACTCGCAAACGCAAATGTGGGATCAAAACGTGTACATCGACGACGAGCTCGTTTCCACCGTCTCCACCAGTACGTCTCAAGGTAACTACTCTGAGGGCCACAAGACTGACAAGGAACTTTAGGCAAGGGACAGCATGGAGGGATCTTCTACATTTCCATGGAGTGTGCAGCAGGCACTTGCTCCGCCACTCCAGCTCATAGTGAGTCTTCATCCTGCTGTTATTGATTGAGCTTCTACTGACATTTGCAGGCTGGGAGGACGTTTCTATCACCCTGAGCCAGGCTGACGAGAGCTTCGGCCATAATGGAGGATGGGAGCAGGGTGCTACTGGTGGAGAGATGTCGACTTCGGATGGTGGAAAGACCTGGAAGTTCACCACTCTTGAGATTCCTGCTACTGACGTCCCGCGAAGCTAGATGAGGGCAGCGCTCATCATATGTCAACTCAATCAATCAATCACCCCAATCAAAGCAATAAAATTGTTGAATGCTCCCTTTCAGTCAAATCAATTCATGTATTTTACAAAGTTGAAATAATTGATATACCACGGTGCATTATGCTTTTGCCTAATAACGTGCTGCCGATTCAGGTCCCAGTGAGGGATTACCCTACACCAGATAGGCACAGATAGAATTTACTTTCAACACAACTCTCTCCTGTAAAAAATTTTTCCTTGGCACCCGCTGTTAGCGCTCTGCTAGGGTAGAGAATTTTTGCAGGCTAAAATGGCAACAAAAGCAGCTGTGGGGCTAACGGGACCCTAACAGCTGCTGGAAGAAAGGGATTCAGAGAGTTGACCTTTCTTCGTGACGAGTGTCTTCAACGACACTGAGCTTCGCGAGCTCTTGACATCGCCTCCGGGCGCCACTACCTATGTGTTATCTGCGACTTCTTTCTACCTCCACATTTCGGCTTCGCGAGCCTGCGACATTTCGGGCTCTACCCTCGATTTTCCCTCGTACGACCGACCTCTGTAGCCTCGGCTGCCCAGACAACATTTCCGGCATTCTGCTGCTTGACATTCAGGGACATTGCACCCTCACCTTCACCTTCGCCTGCAGTTTAGCGCTCCCTCGACTGACCACTGCCGCTTTGGCTGCCCGAACAACACCAGCAGCCCTCAGCTGCTCGACTTTCTGGGCCCTTTGGTGCCCCCAACCTCGACGCACGGGCCCCACATGGCTCGCTGCCCTTTTTGCAGCTCGGAAGCTGCATGACCGATCTCTGCAGTCGCATACTGCCCAGAGACCCTCTTCTTCTTTTCAGCCCCGGCTGCTGCCCGGAACGCAATCGGGCTTCGACAATTTGTCTCACTGGCTGAGACCACTTGACAAAACCGCTGGGTCGAAATGGTACAGAGCTTACCTGGAGACCGTGGAGTGAGGCGACTACCTCGTCCACAGAGCAGCGTTCTGGCCTTCTTGGGTTTTTCTCCTGCGAGGGTTTTCCCCAAGGATGTACGGTTCTAGGTTGAAGCTACTGGCGATCTTAGGGGTCATGGATTTCCTGCTTTAGGGTATGGAAAGCTACTTGATCTATCTGTGCAAGAGAATTCTAGGCTGGAGAGGGATATGTTCCCGCTGACGGGATGCCCTCTTGAGAGTAATGCGCCTTTGTGCCGATGATATGCTGGATGAACTAGATGGGAGACGCTGCCGGAGGGAAGCTCTGCGAGGATCAACTGTATTGATGTCCGGTGGGACGTGCTTCACCGACAACTACTGTAGGGCCAGCTACGGGTAGAGAGGTGCCTTTTGGGGGGATGAGTAGAGAAAAAGCTCGAGCATGTATACGGCTCCGACGCAAGAGGCCTTGCAGATGACCTGAGCGAGGATCAGTACGGCAGCGACTGTAGATAGTTTAGCTCAGCACGTCCTGTGCTCCTGTAGGAGACTTTTCGGAGCCGATGGCCCCCCGGACGAAAAATATACATAACATAAGTATCTAGGCTTATAAGACTCTCATATATAGCTTTAATATACTTAAATATATATAATATATTTTTTTAAGAATTTTCTATTAAATAATTAAGCGAGATATGAGTATAAATACAGTGCGAAAACATTTCTTAAATACTAGCTTCATAAGATTTTTTTTATATTTCTCTAAAAATAAGATATGTTTTTTATAGCTTAATAGTTATAATACCTAAGTTTTAGCTTTTTAAGCTTAAGTTGAAATTTAGAGAATTGTTTTAAAAATCAGGATTTAAAGTGTAAACACTAATGTGCATGATAAGCGAATGTCGCAGACAAGCGAATGTCGCGCCGAGCCACACCCTCACGATTCCCTACCCTGCAAAATGAACCAAATCATCATCAATCGACTCAAATTTACTATGATGTAATTCTTAAGATACTGCTACTTCTATCTGGCAACTTCGTGCGTTATGTCCTGTCGTGCCGCAGACACCACATCGTCGTTGTTCTGACCCTGCCTTCCGCTTGAGACGCCCATTACTGCGACTTTCTTCTTGTAGTTGCACATCAACATCATTTTGGCCCTGCAGATCTTGACCCTGATGGAGCGTTAGGCTTCCTCCTTGCCTCAAACGTTTCTTCTTGACATGCCGACGCCGGCTAAGTGTCTCATTCTCCTCTCGAATAGTGATGTTGTACAGTATGTACAACCGTGTTGTTGTTAGACATTACGTGTATTCGGTTCATTGATGTGAATTGGTGTATTCATGTTGTGTTCTGTTAAACTCTGCCCCTTTAGGGCGTCGCCATTTTGGCGCGTAATCTGAAGCATCCCTGCTTGCACGTGATACCCTAGCACCTATTCAACAGTTGTACGTACGTACGTACAGAAAGAAAAAGTACGTACACGTACTATGTACGTACAATGGGATCCACAATACTCCTAATAGGGGAATTTATGGGCCATATTGTACCCATACAGTACCCACCTACCGGTACGCAAAAAAAAAGTTTCTCTATACAAAATGCCCAATTTTATTTATACAGTATTTAATCAGAATTAAAGTTATTAGTATAGAATAATATCTATTATATTAGGAAATTCGTTCCATCTGATATTATTATATTGCTTTTTTAATTATATATATAGTATAGTTATACAGGACTAATATAAAATTTATTAAAATATCTCCTTTAATACCCAGCCTCCCCGATGCTCCTTCTAATATTCCCTACGCTAGCCCCTAATAATCACCTTAAAAATACTATATATATCTTATACAGAGGATAAAGTTACTGAAGTACTATTAGATATCACGCTGCCTCTCGCAGAATAAATCCGCCCAGAAATATAAGATCCCTCGGTTAACTCTTAGGGACTGATTAAGGGGCCTACTATCAGGGTCAGAGGTTATATAGCCTGCCCAGCTGTTATCTAAACCTGAAGAGTCTAGATTAGTTATATAGATACTTCAGTAAGAGGCCTTAGACTATACTCCCTCTTATAGTTAAGTTTATACTACTATTAATACTGTAACGATCGCTCATACCGCTACGCCACTGGGCAAAAGATTGGGCATTAATCGCTATTGTAGCAATCAACGTGAGCGTAATAGCTAGCTATAGGGGTTATCCGTGCTGAACCGTAACACGATACCTCCCTCCCCTAGGCATGTCCTCATGACTCTAGGTACCTCGCTACCATGACAGGTGGACCAAACCTGCCCGCTATAGCCTCTCGGCACCAGCTATTCCAACCCCTAGGTAAATACTAGTTAGCTACCTCTTTAAGCTTATTAATAAACTACTATTACTAAAGTTCTTGACCTTTAAAGATAATCCCCGGTTTCAGAAGATAGCTAGTTACTATAATAGCCTTAATATAGCTAGTCTAAGTATAGAACTAGAAGCCTTTAAGGAAGGCCTTCTTTCTAGAATTACTACTACTAATAACTAAAGAATCTAAGCCTAGATTTATAATAGATTAGCTAAATTCCTAGTTAAAATAATAGATACTTACTAAATCCGGCTATTATTGAGAGCGTACGTAATTTCCGTAGTTAGTTAGGGTAATTTGCTGCATGCTACTTAAGCAGCAAATGTTTGCTACTCCAAAAATAAAAAACCGTCTTTACTTACTCTTACAGCCTATAGCTACTTAATAACAGTATATTTAATACCTCTAAGGCTATATACTATAAAGAACTCTAAAAGTTAGCTACCCTGACTAATTCTGCTCTGGTAGATAAGGTTAACTTTATTAAGGCTTATACTAAAGCCAGGGAAGTAGGTATAATAAAGAAAAATATCCTCTCGGGCTAGAGAGTAACTGGAAACTAGCTAATTTTATAATAGAAAGTACTTATATATCCTGAGATTTAGCTAGATAAGAAGGAAATAATACCTATATCAGATAGCTGTAGGGATAGGTAAGTTAACTCTAATAATATACTAAAGACTAGCTATTATATCAGAGATCCGGGGAAGAATAAGAGCCCTTTAATAAGAAGATAGTATTCTATAATATCAAAAGGCTTTAAAGTATAAGAGTTAAAGATTATATCCCTAAGCTTAAGGGTAGCTAGTTTAGAGGAGGAAATCAGGTAGTTAAGTAGAGGTAAGAAGAGAAAGGTAATACTAAATCCTAATAGGAAGTTCATAATATTAGCTGAAGCTCTATAACAGAATGAAAGAAGGAGATTTAAGCACGAACATACATACTTCGATACCAGATATCACCTACGAGCACGATAAAGAAACTTGGAGGCAGATTTTTGGTAGTGTAGAACTAAGCGAGGCTGGCATTACAAACCCCAGGTATGAGGGTGAGCTAGACTACTTGAACGGAATGGGATGGTAAAGGGTGATTTAAAGAATGGTCTACATGAACTTATCGTAAGGTAGAACAACCATTGCTGGTTCTGTCGTATGCCAAAAATGATTATTCGTGATAACGATCTGCCTAATACCTTGACGACTCGGACTACTAACCCGACCTCGTGCATTTCCTGATATCGGTTGTAAATAACCTCCTTTTTTCGCCCTTTTGAGGGGTCGAGGCTGCCCTTGGCGGAAGCCTTTGCAAGCTAGGCAAGGTGAAGAGCTATTTCTGCCTCTGTAGACATGGTTGATATCTCTTTGTAGGTGAATTTGCCGTGCTTTAAGATCCTCGCTGTCTTCTTCCTTCCCTGTACGGTATCTCTTCCTTGTGCCGCTATCAGTGCCGTACTTGTTGAAAATGGCGTTATAAATAGCCTCTTTCCAAGCTTCAAGCGTGGTATAGGGCTTCCAATGAGGCTGCCGGGTCTTCTTCTGTAAAATGAAGCTATTCGCAAGTGCAACATCAAGGAGGAAAGACCACAGCAACGCCTGCCAAGGACCGCGCCGGAACCGATGCTCATATGTTGTATAGGACCTTATCTGATCGCCGCGGTCCACGTGATTCATCTCAACATTATAGTGAGCGGCAACAGAAGGAATAGGGACCTTTTTGAAGGTATCACCATTGAAGACCTGCTGCAGGCGTTGTGCCTCTGCCTTTGTGCCTCTTTTGACGGGCAACTTCCTCTCTGTGAGTGTGCGGTCAAGAGGAGTTGCGCTGTGCGTTGTTGAAAGGAAGAGCACTACAGAGCTATCTTTCCAAGCAATTTAAAGGACCTAGAGGGAACGGAAAGAGACAAATTAGTAAGGGGAATATAGGTAAAGTTATCTATACCTTTTTATCCTTCGTCGGGACTAAATATACCTTATTATACGCCAAAGGCGTGCCATCAGGAAGCTTCCCGGTCTCTTTTATATGCTTCAACTCGGTGGTGATGCCGCAATTAGGGCGTGCCGTGCCTGTAGCCCCGTATCCAAGCTGCCGAAGAAGGCGGAAGAGCTGCGGCGATGAGAAGAGGTTATCTGTAAAGACGTGATATGTCTGTAGCAGCAGCCTTTTCAGTAGGTGAACCACGACGCTCTGTGTATTACTGAGAGGGATCTCGGTCAGCAGCTTTCCCTTCTTGCCGCGCTGTTGTGGTGTAGGTAGCTCAACTGTTACAGCCTTATATGGTGATGCCTTCACATGCCAAAGCCACTGCAGAAAGTAGCCCTGTTGCGCAATAACCCAGACTTTGAACCCTACCGGCGTAGGCTTATTCTTGACGACCGTTGTCTCTTTTGATCTGCCTGTAAAAGGGACCATACACTCATCTACAGTCAGATTAGTCCCTGGAGAATAGAGCTCAATAGACACCCTTTGTATATGATTAGACCACTCTTCAGCTGCTTGGAAGGTCTTTGGAAGATCGCTCTCATCGCTCACATCGAGCTTGGTGTAGTCAAAAGTGCGGAAATACCTCGTGATCAGCTGGAACTTTTGTAACGGCATAAACTTAATAAATGAATGAAGAGGGCGCTGATCTCCTAGGCTAGGGGCCTTCCAATGGTCTGTTATCGATATTTCCTTATGAATTTGCAGGTAAATAAGGACTCCAAGCAATACATAAGCTGTTGAAGGGGAGATGCCTTCCCACTTGAGGATGCGGGACTGTTTGCAAAGAGGGGTATTCCAGTTGTCAATAACCGCATTTTCGGTAAGTGAGCGACCCAGCTGTTGGTGTATTCAATCCATGACTGCACAAGGGAAATAGGTACGAAAAGCTGGAATAATTCAAGTGGTTGCTGGGGTAGAGGGTTGATCTTAAAATCACGATATTTGATGTTGAAAGGTTGAAAATCATCACCGCGGCCCTCTTCGGCCGGAAAATCAGGCACGCCGGTGGGGTCATTAGCTGCCCTCAAAGGCAGGGTATCAAAGCTGTGATCATCTATAAATTCAGGTATCTTTGGAGAGCTCATTGTTTTATTTGAGACTTGCTAGGGGTGATTTGTATGAGGATTTAGGTGCTTTAAATGAAGAAGCTGTCTGACGAGAACTTCACGTACCCCGCAGGTGCTAGGGCAAAGCATACCCGCACGGGTACCCGTGCAAATAAGGCTGTACGGATACCCGTGCAAATAAGGGATCCTTATGTCAGCATCACAAAGGAGCCTTACACTTATATTTACAGCAATTATATGTATTTCACAGTAGTTATAGCAATAGAGAAGCTATTATAGTGTTTATTAAATCCCCAGTTTAGCTAGAAACATCAATCTACTACTCCCTTACTTGGCCCCTTCTATTCACATCTGTAATGTGCATCCCGTGCTGTGCTGCAGTGTAAATAGTTGGTATATGCATAGTCATACCAACTGCAGGCGTTGGCCAAGTCGTTCCTGGGACCCCATTGCCTGCTCTGATAACTGCGTCTTGCTGCTGAAGGATATTGGCAGTCCAGAAAGGGTTCACATCAGGGGCAGGACGTTATTGGCGACCTTGAATAGACTGTTAAAGGTGCCCCTTGTGCCCGGCTTGCGGCCTATTGATTAGCAGCTGTAGCCTGGGAGCAGGCATCTGGCCGTGGGTCATGTTGGCTGTTTCAATCAACAAGTCGGCACAATACGCCTACTGTATCGTCGTCGCTCTCTTTGCGGTATGTGGTGTTTTCCCTCTCTACCTCCGCCTGGTCCGCTCCGCCCGTGGTCGGGAGCGACCCCCCGGTTGGGGCTTCATCGGCGCTGTATTTCAGCGGCGTTCTAGTCGCGTACAGGTGTAAGGGGCACAAATGCACTGGCACAATTTCAATATTATCTTTTGTAAATACATCTAATTTGCCTAAGTCTTGCCTTTCTGTCCGCCTCGCATACGTGGGATGCTGGTTCCTCCTGTGTCCCTTTCCCTTAACTCAGCAGCTTGATCCTCTGTCTATTGAATTGTATCTCTACCAATGATGAGCTTCGTATAATCTGTAAAAGCCTTGAATTATATTGTAGAAACCCGCCTCATTCCGTATAATTTCCCCCTCTGCCAGCCTGTGCAGTACTAGGCCAAAGCCACTTCTAGCTATCGAACGGCTCGTCAGACGCTAGGAGGACTCGTACTACCTCCAGCCATGCCTGGGGAAGCTAGGGAAGATCCCGCGGTGCAGGGCTAATAACGGCGCAAGGCACTCGCCAGACTCGATTAAGACCTTGCTCGCTCAAGGTGTAATACCAATGGTGCCGGTACAGGCCGGGTCGAGATCGGAAAGGATTTCTCTAAAAAGGTTGCTTCCAATAACAACTTCGAACAATCTGAGGCCGCTGCACGAAATGCGCGGTTAGGATATCGATATGATATATTTCTAGCTCGGCATCAGGGCACTGCTTGTGCATCTCGGTTTACACGGGAGCCCCAATATAGCATCGAAATGCTGGTTCCATTACTTTTCGTGGCGCTCGTTAACCTCCGTTTTGTGACGGCCCTGCGCGAGGTTGAAATCATAGCGAAGAAGCCGATCAACTCCGATCCTCATCATTACGGTCTCCTGAAACACCGTCTCCGGATCTGTGCCCTCAAAGATTGGAGTATCCGTCTGGTTGACGCCTTAGTCCACAGTCCGACCTGACCCCAATGAGTTCAGAGTTATAAAATGCTAGAAACAAAAACATAGTTTACCTAGCCGTGATTTCACTACCCTACCAGTCTAAGCTAGGTGCTAAAGAGGAAAACATATCAATTGCCTCAGCCCTCCAAATGTCTTGTTGTAGTGAGACTCCATTCTCAGCGCTAAAAACCATGTTTCTTGGGCTGTCCCGGGAGTATACTGGCCACTTTACTTTCAAATCGGACACTGCTTAACATTAGCCGGCTTTCTTTAAAAACAGGCGCTTTCTCCAAAGCACTCAATAGTAGAAATAATGAACTATGGCAGGGAAGACTTACTATAGTGAAAGTTAGGTGATCCTGTAACCACAAAGCTGATCCACATACGACTCATAATTTCAGCTAGCTTCAAATACTTCTGCCTCTTCTTAGGCTCAGAAGGGAAAGGGTCGGTATCCCAACCAATGGCTTTGGTATTAGCAAAGGTAAATGGAATTTCCTGAAAGTGAGCCACGCCGAGTGTTTCGAGGTCCAGGTTGGCAGGCAGAGTGTCAAAGAAATAACTATAGCTTGGCGTGCGGTAATCAGCCCACTTCTGGTTGGCGAATCGTCGACCAGCCGTAAAGAGAGCATCTCCAAGCCAGAGGCTTGTCTTTCCATACTGAGCTCCTAGCTGTGGGTCTGGATTAGACAGAATTGATCCCAAGCCTGCAGGAGAGGGCCTATCGACTTCCATCTGATACAACGTGGACCAATTGGCCAAGGCTGCTTCTTCCACAGGTCGCCCAAGAAGTCCCTTGACGGACGCCAAAAACTCATCATCAGAGTTTACTGTTAAACCAAGTAGCTGCGTAAAAGACGTGCCTTCATTTCGGTTAGACCCAGTCAGGAGAGGAACTTTAACGAACGATCCCGACTCGAGAAGACGTGAGCTAGTTGACGTAAAAAGCTCACCATCGACGACCCAGGCCGTAGGAAGCATCTGACTGACTCTTCTCAGCGCCTTGGCGGGAACAGCACGCAGACATGATAGATGATCTTTCGCCTCAGTACAGCCCGTTTCCTCTAGTACTTTGTTCGAGTAGGCCTCCATCTCAGTTGCGTTGCGATATGAAGACGATGATAGAGGACCTCCGCTTTGCGCAATAGCGCCGCTGAAAAGCCCCTCGTCCCGACCTCCATAAGCGATGAGGTGCTGACCGACAGAAGAAGCGCCTGCAGATTCCCCAGCAATAGTGACTCGCGAAGCATCGCCGCCGAAATATGCGATGTTTTCCTGTACCCATCGAAGCGCCTGGCGTTGGTCGTGGATGAAGACATTCGGTGGCCCAGCCTTTGCTGCAGCCGGCCCGTTCATCATGCCAAAAACGCCCAGGCGGTAATTAAAACTGACAAAGATGATAGGCGTGCCCATCTGAACTGACGTCTCGACTAAAAATGAGCCATTGTATCTGGGATCCCCTGCGCTACCCTCAACCCAGGCGCCGCCGTGAATCCAGGCAAAGACCGGAAGCTTACGAGACTTCTTAATGCCAGAAGGGCGGATGATGTTAATCTGGAGGCAATCCTCGCTCATGGGCGCAGACGTGTTCTGGCTGAATCCTACGAGTCCAGCAGAGTTGCCCAAACACAACGGTCCATATGACTTGGCTGATTTGATCCCCTTCCAAGGCTTTGGTGGCTGAGGCAAGCTAAATCGAAGGTCTTCGGTCGGGCTCGCTGCGAATGGTACGCCGAGGAATGCATCTTGATGGCGGACTGAGTCATATGAGCCTGCTAATGTTCCATTTCTGATATTGACAAGGGGAGTGGAAATGTGTGTTGTTGGAGTAGCCCAAGAAAGTGGTTCAAGGAAAGGGAGAGCCCACAGTATGTGGAAAATGAGCTTCAGAGCAGGCTGCATTTTAGCAGTATTTAGACTGGTTAAAGTATATAGAGATAGATACCCAAGTGTGAGGAGTTGAGGACCTTGACTTTAAGGAATCGTGCTGCATTTATATAATTACGGCAAGCTAAACTACAAAATCGCAAAGCGGCAGATGACAACGGACAACGGAAAAGTGCGAAGTGCGCGCCCTTACAAATCAGCCTCGACATATAAAAAGATCTGAACACAGATGCGACCGCTATTTAGATTAGCTTGATCCAAAAGTTCCCACAAACGCAATATCAGGAAATTGCGGCATAGGCTACCTCCACCTTACCTCAGACATTAATCAGCATCAGTCGCCCCACTGCCAAATTTCCATCAATTACAGTATTTCCTATTTTAGCTTTAAAAGAAAATCTAGGCATGCATAAGGACATAGCACATGACAATAAGACCACGATACTCGCATCTTAGGACTGTAGTTAATTAAGACCATGAGTAGAATGAACTGGTCATGATACATATCTGTCAATACATTTTGAACAAGGTGTGTGTGTTTGTTTGTTTCTCTTTCTGGCCATCAACCAGTCTCCATCTCTTCGAAATAATGATTTCCTCAGTTAGTTCTCAACAACCAGATTTGTCATAACCAAATTACAAGGCTAATCTTAATCTTGTACTTCAGGCCCTTCGAGATAAACCAAAACTAAGTATCCCACGCGCCGCAGAGATCTATACAGTCAATCGTAATAACTTACGTCGCCGCCAGCAAGGGGTTTAATCTCGATGCGATACTATGCCTGACACACGGAAGCTATCTGACCTAGAAAAAGAGACTCTTCTTGAGTTTATTATCGACCTAGATTCGCGAGGATATCCCCCGCGACTGCGTGGTATTGAAGAAATGGCTACTCAACTGCGTAATAACCGCGATGCATCACTAGTTGACAAGCGATGGGGCTATTAATTTCATTAAGCAGCAACCAGACCTTAAGACGCGTTTTCAGCGGAGGATATACAACAGAATTAAATACAAGAGAACCCTGAATATATCTCACTCGATACCACCCACTCGGCTTGTAACCCTGTCTTAGTGCTACTGCGTCTGATTAATCTGTCGTCCGAGATAGACCCCGGTTAAATTGCGGCTCAGTGAGTTTTCCTGGCTGACCGCGTCGGTCATTCCGGACGTTGAGTGCTACCACTCCAGAGCCAGGATGAATGGATCTCCATGCGCAACAGAGGGGTTCTGGTCTAATGGAAAAGAATACACTGCTGCGAGTTTCAGTCACTACCTCAGCCGAGTCCAGACTAGATGGCATCTAGTTCATGGGCAACAGCGGTTCCGGGCGCAACTGAGGCCTTGCATGAATAACGGACAAGCATGGAACTTATACAACGCTACCCGAAGGACTGTATCGCCTTGGGTTCTCGGTAAGAAGCTCTGAGGGAGATATCACCACGGCCGTATTAAACCCCTCCTGGAGTCAGAGTAATTCATTCATACTCATTAGAGCTAATTTATCCATCCGTCATGGCCTTAAACGACCCGGTTGCGGACCCCGGATTTACCACGGGAGGACCTCACCCCGCTTGGCCAAGAACTGATTCACCTCGTCGTCCCTATCACCCCTCACAATCTCCGTTATCCCCTGGGCACTCGTCTCCGAAGACTCTGCCCCTCGGTCAATCTTGCTCTGCTTATCCTCCCCGGTCAAGTTGGTGACCACAAACCCAGGGCAAAACGACCAGACCTTCGCTGGGTGCTCCCATTCCTTGAACTTATAGGCCTGAATTCCGGTAACCATGTTCAGCGCCGCTTTGCTGACGCGGTACGTCTCTCCCGTAACCTGTGTATATGGGGACGAGTGATCGTTCCGCACCGTGATGGAGCCGAGGACCGAGGAGACGTTGATGATCCGAGGATCGCGGGACTTCCGCAGCAGATGCTCCAGGGCCTGGGTCAGGAGCATGGTGCTGAAGACATTGGTGTCGAAGACGGTGTGAAAATTCTCTCGCGAGACCTCTTCCTTGCCTGAAATGCCGGCGTTATTGACGAGTACGTCGAGGACGCTAAAGTCAGACTCTAGTTTCTGCGCGGCAGCCTTGATGGACTCGTCGGAGGTGATATCGAGCTCAAGGAAGCTGAGTGTGCCGGCAGGCTTACGTGCCTGGATCTCGTTGAGAGCTGCAAGGCCCTTGACGCTGGAACGGGCACCCATGATGATGTGGTTGTCTGGCGAGTCATTGGCGAGGGCGTAGGAGGTGTCATGGCCAATGCCGGAGTTGGCGCCTGGGAAAGCTAAGAGTAAGCCAACAGAGAATTGACACTTGACGAAAGTGATACTGACCAGTGATGAGAATGATCCTCTTGTTGGGTGCCATGATAATGTAATTGGGTGCTGATTCGGGCTGAACAGAAATTGATGAAGTGAGCAGGTTCGAAGACTGTTGCGGTTGGAATGTGCATTCGGTAACTCAGGGGGATGATGCTGTCTGGTTTTATACACTTTTATAGCGAGATAGGAATCCAGTCTCGCCATACCACGTGGTTTCGCGTGACTGTGTACCTCTACGGGCTGGATGTCCGAGGTTGAGAATCGATTATGGACTGGCGGACCATCTTCGTCCGCGTGAGATGTCGTAGGCTAGTCTACTTCTGGTAAGTTACCTGGCCGGACTGACGTCTTAACGTAGTAGTTGCTCGTAGTTCAGCTTTGTGGTGTCTTCTGCGGCAAAGTAAAAGCTTGATTATAAATACCGGGCTCGAAGATCCGCTGATCAGTTGGTACCTGGAAGTATTGAATTAGTACTTTACCGCTGGTTCTTATCCAAATGACAAGATACGCCGTTGCATCAGCAAGCAAACAAACTAATGTCCTCTCGGAGACTATGGCTCAAGCTGTCATCGAGCCTTGAGCACAGGAACAGAGCAGCAAATTCCACGGCATGGAGACATCTCAGGAGTCATGGGCGGCAGCGATTTGGGTATGTTCGCACCGTAGTCAGCACTCTCGGCCCGGTGCCCCCCAGACATTGAAAGAATGGAAGAGGAGCGTTCTAGTGGAGCTAAGTTTGTAAGTGAAGGAACGCTTTGTCATAAGGCCGTGTCGAGACCAAGTCTCTCCTTATCCCAAACGCCGCTAAGCGGAACTCTCCCGACCGTCAGCTCGGGCTTAGGCGCTCTACCCCTAATACGTCATGTAGCTTGAGATTAAGCTCGAGAGTCGGCGAGAAGGTTTCACCGGTTGCGAAACGGGGAAGCTTCTGGGTTCTGAAAAAGCCCGACGGCACTTGTCAGCTGAGTTACCCTGCCGCACGCAATAGGTACAATCTGGAAGAAAAGACTCGGCCCTTGCTAATTCGGCGTAATGAGACGTAAACTGAGAAAATCTCAGGGTCTTAGGTGTGGACCTTGAAGAGCTAGCTATGCTAAAAAGAGGGACACGCTTATTCGGAAGATATCCATAGCCTGGGTGGGGACTCGCCGATCTGGTTGTTCCCTGCGCACGGACGGTCTTGGGTGCGTATTGCGCGTATCAAGACGTATAACAACGTATTCGCCAAATTGTGGTGGATCCTAACGGGTCCTGGACTTTGGCGGCGTCATTGGATTGGTCCAAGGTCAAGCCGTCTTAGCCCCGTTTTGCGACATCCTTAGCCCAAACTTAATTTTAATACTACTTATTCTAGGCCTTGGACTCGCGAGGAGCGTATTCTTCGTATAGCCCTCTTACTTCTTCTTTGACACGTCTATCTCTTCCAACAGCCTGTAGTTATTCCACGCGGCTCTCAGTTCCATGAATGAGAATACCCCACCTACTGACCAAGGTGGTAAAGTCGTCCACCGAAGGGCCCATAGAAAGTCACGTCATGGATGCACGTTCTGCAAAAAAAGGAGGATCAAGGTAACGAACGCCTAACCCGGCAGTCGAGTCGACCTGCGTTCCAAAATGATTCAAGCTAATTCTTTGGTCCAAATCTCCAGTGCGATGAGCAAAAGCCGGCTTGCACCAACTGCCTCAGGCGATCGCTGGTGTGCAGCCTTGGCACAAACCAGAGCACTGCTTCCAGCCCAGCTTCGACGGCGCGAGTGGCAGCATCCGTCCGGTCCTGTGTAACCAGTCTAGATGTGGGGGATTTTGAGCTGTTTCATCATTTTTGCCATGTCACATCTAAGAGTTTCAGTAACGAGCAAGCCACCCAATACTTCTGGAGCGTTACAGTCCCGAGGCTGTCTTTTAGACACCAGTTTCTTCTCCATGCAGTCATTACTCTAGGCGCATTGCACCTACGTCACATGAAGGACCAGCTTGAGAGAGACATGCCTGCCGGCCTATTGGACAAGGCTAATGTGCATTGGGAAGAGGCCCTGAGGCTTGCCTCGCCGCTTCTCTCACGCGTCACTGAGTCAAATTGTGCCGCACTCTATCTCTTTGCAACAATAACTTGCTTGCATACATTTGCCCTCGGCCCATGCCCAGGAGAGCTGCTTATATTCAACCAGAATGGCCCATCGCACTGGCTGACACTTTTTCGCGGACTTCGGTCAATCGAGCAAGCATGTGACTTCGCAAGTGTCCAGAACGAGGAGCTGCGCCCAATATTCCCGCTCTCTGGCTTAGGGTTGAACAAAGTTCCAGTCAAAGCCCTCGATCCATCCGTCCAAGAAGCTCTAGAGGCTTTAGCATCCTTCATAGATATCAACATCACGAAGGATGACGAGCGGTGCGAGAGCCTGGTGGAAGCTCTCACGCTTCTGCGAAGGTGCTACACAGTGGTGCATGACGAACCAGCGCAAGTCTCGGCTTACACAGTCTTCAGCTGGTTACATCGTGTATCGGATCATTACCTGAAACTGGTACAGGCCACTGACCCAGTGGCGCTGCTACTCTTTTCATACTTTGTAGTGTTGATCAAGCGATTGGAGTGTGCCTGGATGGTAAAAGATTGGCCGACACATCTCATGTCAGAAATCTACGCTTGCATGCCACTTGCGAAACGTTTCTGGCTGAGCTGGCCTATGGAGCAAATCGGCTGGCTGCCGGCTGAATGAGTACAGCAACCGTGGTATAGACTATCTTGTAATTTGTTGTTTTTTTCTGACAAAAAGGAGAAGAGAAGACACTTCTACATGCGTCCACGCCTCATTTGTTCATAATGTTCTCTTGATAGAAGCTGTTCCTTGCATAGGTCAAACACTACTGGTAGGATTCACCACAAGTATCGTGACCCGAAGGAAGGGTTTAACATGAAGCATGGGTGAGGAGGGTTTATCTCGCTTGAGGCTAGAAGTTGGGTGACGTCACACCATGTCTTTTTCTCCAGTCCAAGGGGAGTTTCCACTAATCAGGATCAGAATTTATGGGCCGAGATCGACGCCTTGGCACAGCGTATTCAATACGTGATGATGAGTCCTTGACAATTTCTGCCTCGGGATGCCCGTGACCTGCTGTTATTGATCCACTGCCTGCTAGCACGTGCGTAATCAACACCAGAGACAGTTCTTGATGATGAACAACGTAACGTTTATGAAGCCAGATTTAAAACCTCATGCTTGCCCAAGATTTGCGACAAACAATATCATCACTTGAAGCACCATCAACTCAAATCTTCAGAATGGCAACAAAGGCGACAGTGGCTGTTGAAACAAAAACGGATTGATTGCGTTGTTGTTAGTTCTAAGTTGCATGTGTCCGAGAGGAGCACGTCTCCGTACATAGTATCCACATCCCAATCACCAGTAGATCGAACCACCTTAGCCACACGGTCTCAACAATGGCAACGGCCGCGACCGCGACATCAACTTCCCTGGCATGTATCTCCGTCCCACCTAACGAGCATGGACACGTGTCTATCGGAGCATGCGGCGCAATTTGGCCGTATCACCCCAGCTTCGACTCCAACTTGGCCATAATGATTATATTCGCTGTCTCAAGTCTGGCGCCTGCAGTCCAGAGGCTTTGCTTTCGACAGGTGCGTACATCTTCTCAAGCGTCAAGAACTCTACGTCTTGAATGGTTAGGAAAGCTCACGGTTATGTTATGTTATGTTATGTTATGTTATGTTATGTTATGTTATGTTATGTTATGTTATGTTATGTTATGTTATGTTATGTTATGTTATGTTATGTTATGTTATGTTATGTATATTTTCGTCTGGGGGGCCATTGGCCCCGAAAAGTCTCCTAGGGGAGCACAAGACGTGCTGAGCTAAACTATCTACAATTACTGTTCCATCCGAATGTACCTAGAACACCCACAATGTCCACTTGCATCAATGGAGAGCGCCAGATGCCCTTTCCCCCAAGTGGCACCTGCCCTACTTGTAGCCAGCCCTATGGTAGTTTCAAACACATCGTCTTGGACGTCAAAGCAGGGGGTTCTGGCAAAGTTGCACGCACCCGGGCTTCAGTTGGGGCAATTTCAACGATGGACAGTGGGCCCGTAACGGTCAGAGGACCGATGGTGACGGCTGAAGCTGCGAGGTCCAAGCTATAATATCATGTTGCTTGTTAAATTATCATTAAAGAGTAAATCTTGAGAGATTATTGATTAGCTTCTCTTTCCCGAGAGAGATGCCCTAAGTCTTGGATATGTTTTATTTTCTCCTTCTGTTTTGTTTTCTCCATCTCCAACTCATGAGTACCGCAGGCTGTCATGCATACTGATGGCAAAGGCTGGCCCGACTGTGAGCATTGTACCCCTTTCCAGGTAGCAACCACACCGGGAGGGCAACTCAATACTGCCTTGCTCAAGTACAATCAGGTCACACCCCCAGACAGACTACTCAACAGTCTAATATCCAAAAAAACTAAGTTATATTACATCCTAGCAAATATACCAGATGAAATATAGTATAGTATCTATAAAAATTTAGATAATAAGGTAATACTTAATATAGGGGAGGTATACTACTTTATACCTACTATACTCTGCATTTAATTAGTATCTCCTACTTTTATAGGCCTTATTTATAAACTCCTATCTCTAGTACTAACTAATTATTTCAGGTTGTTACGGTTCAGCACGGATAACCCCTATAGCTAGCTATTACGCTCACATTGATTGCTACAATAGCGATTAATGCCCGATCTTTTGCCCAGTGGCGCAGCGGCAAATCCCCCTACCAGTGCGTTGATACTTAATCCAATGGTCTATAGTATTATGAGGTTGGCTGCATCGATGCTGATCGATCGGAGTGCCGGCTTCACTGCATTTGTCCTGGGGGCAGGATAATGATCTCATCGAATAGGAATACCGACCTTCGGCCGGCACTTTCACTTCGTTTTTGTCTCTCCCATATTGTGTTTCCTCCAGTTCTCGACCCTCCAACGCCTGCCCACCAGCCCCTGTCCATCCAATCATGGTCGCACGGGCAGATCCGACATCCACCGAATGCGTCAGAGATGTGGATCAGTGCGCAAGTGCCCTGTACGCTACGGCAGTTGTGATAATGCCCAGATGCCCAACCAACCACATATACAAGGCGCTGTAGCGGCGCAAGGTCCCCATTTGTCTCCCACTTCGGGCTTATGCACAACATATGAGACATGCAGGGCGGGATGCCGCAACCGGCAGTGGGACGACGAATGTACGTTCCAACAACGCTGGATTCGGCCTAAATCATGTTTTCACTTCAGCCGGCCTCAAACTGTATTGATGTGTGATTATTCCCTTTTTGGCCGATCGTTAGCCGACTGGCAAGACAAGAAGAGGGCCGCTGCTCTTCGGCAAGGGATATTAAGAAGGATAAAGCGAGACTGTTGAATCCCTTCCATTCTGTTCTGCACGACCCTCTTTCGATAGGCGTCTATGTGGAAACCTCATTTATCTAATCATGGGTAGTCTATTATTGTTGTTCGCTCTTGTTGCCCTCCTGGGCTTTGCCAGAGCAGAGGATCTGCCTGTGTTGTCGCTTCCCTGGGGCAAATATCAAGGCGAGGTCTTTGCGGCTGACGAGGAAGTAAGGATGAACAACAAGTCTTCCCAAGGTCTTGGCCTACATGCTGATGACTAGCATTCAGATTATTATCTTCAGAAACGTTCGTTTCGGAGCCAAACCCGAACGTTTTGGCGCTCCATCCTTCCCTGATTGGACGGACGATAGGCTTTAGGCTGAGTGTAGTCGTCTTTGCCTGGCTTCCGGAGAACCACTGTAAACGTGTCTTTGAAGTGTGCTGGACAGTATCCCAGTCGTAGACATGCGTTGAACAGCTTGCAAAGTCCAGGAAGGAGAATGTCGAGGGTTTTTTTATTGTGCAGTATGCTGTTAGTGATGCCGTCTGTGCCGGGTGCCTTGTTTGGAGTTGCCCTGCGCACTGCGTTCTCAACCTCTGACATGGTGATCTCTGGACATTCGATTGGTGGGGGATATTCATATCCTTCGACATCCGACAGGTCTGCTTGGAGCGGAGGTGGAAAGAAGGCCTGACGTAGCACCTCCGCCTTTCTTCCGGTCGCTGAGCTAGCTCTCCTGCTGATGATGCGTTGTGCCTGTTCTTGGCCCACTTCACCAGACTCCATAAGCCCGAGTGTGAATTGGAGGCCTCTGCAACCCTATTTCGATGTGTGTTTCGTAGGTTCTTCTGGATCAGTCGGCCTTTCTTGTTACGTGCTTGTCGGTAGGCTTCGTAATCGTCGTCCTGTCTCGTTCGCTGCCATCGTCGGCGGAGTTGCTAGACCTCTGAAGCAGATGTCTTTACACCCGATTGCCCTGGTGGTTTACTGGAACTGGCACCCGGCAGGCCCGACGAGGAAGGACTACTCGCGATGCCAGGCCCTCCGATGCGAACGTAAGGTTGATTGTTGACTCTCCGTCCTTCCATCGATGGGTTGGGGTCCCGGGCACCGTGAGGAGCTGCAGTTGAAAGTCTTCAGCGATGGCGAGCAACGGTTGGGCACTTGGTATGGCACTGGGTCTCAGGTGTGACGCCGCCCATAAGGGGTGATGTAGGTTAAAGTTCCCGAGCACAATAGTCTCGTTACCTGGGTCGAGTTTGCTTAACGCCTCGACCACCATGGAAAGTGTATCAGATCTTGGTTCATTGTAGACGTTGAGAATGTGTATGATCTCGCTAGAGGTTGGGTTGTGGAGGCTTAGACACGTGATATCCTTGGAGACATGGGAGACGCTCCATGTACTGGGGTCGATTCGTTTGTTGATGTACAGGCATACCCTTGTGGCTGCGTCGTCGAGATAGGTTAGTTGAAAGTGAGTCTTGAGCGGATGGTAGGATGTTGCAATAAATGGGTTGCGCCAGGGTTCTTGGATCGCTAGGATGTCGTACTCGAGAACCCTAGGGTCCTTGAATAAGTTGGCGAGGACGACGTCCCTTGATTTCTGGACGTTGTACTGTAAGATGCTTAGTTCCTGGTGTCCCGTCATCCATGTAGGGTTGCATTGGGGCTATGTGTGAGGGATCGACTCCGCGTTATTCGGGTCTCCGCCAGGCGGGTCGTAGGCCCAATGCGTTTCCATCCGGGAGCAGCGGTGCTCCAATTTCCTTATGTCTCAACAACCACGCTGATGTTTCTTCGGGCGTATCTCTTCCTCATATGTTCGCGGAGTTCCGATGGGACGGTGGAATCCTTGCCGCAATACACGCAGATCTTCATGCACTTGGCTATCGTTAGTTCGGCGTCTTGTGTCGGCCAGTCGTTATAGACGTCTTGGTGAAATGGCATTGGCAGCCCTTGTACAGTCTCTCGCTGGCTGTGTGTGTGTCTGTGGCAAGAGATGTGATACGAGATGGTTCTACTTCCGCGGCGTCATTTAGCCATCCGCTGCCCATTTCTCCTACTATGTTATTCAGCCACTCGTCTGCTTCTTCAAATATGGTGTCGTCAATGTCGTTCATTGGGTATGATGGCTGTTGCTGGAGCATCTCATCGTCCCTGACCGATACAGATGGCAGTGGGTTTTCGCGTCCCTGCTGTCGGTCGGTTGGCCGGTCAGACTGCCTTGCGGTTTCCCGCAGTATTGCAGGTGTTACGCATGCCTGTTCGTCTCATAAGGCCATCTGGGCCAGCTCTGTGACCGCAGGCCTGTCTGCCTCATTGGGTTGTGGTGCCGGAACTGGAAGAAATGTAAGAGCGCTTTATGCATAGAGATGCCAGGCCACCTTCAGCTAGGCGCTCAAACTACATGAATTCGGGAAGTCTATCAAGGATAACTCCACCGACCTGGGCTATACGTCTTGGTCAGATCATTTATTCCAGGATGCGCTTGAGCATATCTTCCCACAGATGACAACGCCACATTAACTTACAAAAATATATCTTTCACAATAACACGGTTGCGGGAACTCGTTGAAACCGAGATTATAGCAGCCCAAGATCAGCTGGCAGAGTTGCTTCTTGTCCCTCCGAATTCAGGTAGGCGAGCCACTGTTCAACAGTAAGACTGCATTCTATTGTTGATGGCCAATTGTTGGAAAATCCGGGGATTCCCCTTCCCTTCAGGATTCAGACTAACAGTCTGAAAGTCCTAAGGTTAAAGCTCAAAGTCCTAGATGAAATCATTTAGAGATATAAACCCGAGAAGAACTCTGGTTTCAATAATTAACAACAAAGTTTTTAAATATATATTTTTTTCACTCAGCACTACTGCGCAATATAAACAACAAGCGAGATCAAGAGATCGTTTTCTTATCCCATACTTCTCATACATACCAAGGTAAACCCTAAACAAATATTCCTAATTTCCCCAGAACCTAGCCCAGGCTCTCACCACAACGTTTTTCTGCCTGAGCTCCTCTCTCACTCTCTCGTCATCAAGTCCCTCTTCCCAGATACGGCATTCATCGTCGATAGCCTGCTTCCTTCCATCCGCATGGATGTCAACTGTGGCTGGGTTGACAAATTTAGTCCTTTTAAAAATCTTCCAAAGCGCGAACATGCCCAAAAACCAAGCCACACCAAAGTAGCTTGTAATGAATCCCCTAGTGGACCATGGATGAAATATATCAAAGCCGATAAATATGCTGATAAAACCGCCAAGAAGTATGCACGAGTATGGAGTCCAGGAGGAAGCAGGGGCGATGTAGGGGAATAAGATTCCGTCGGTCGGTTTTTTGTCGGAACTGGACTTTTCACGACGGAAAATATTCCAGGAATTCCTGCTGATCGTGTTTTTCCCCTGAAGACGAATTCCCTGTGCTTTCAGAGCCCGACGCCAACCAATGAAGACCCAAGATATAGCCGTAAAGAAGACGATATTCGATGACGTAGTAAGATCCACAAACCAGCCGAACACCACGATCGCGTCGTTCGACGCAACAAGGAAGGACAGCAGAGAGAGGAAAGTGACAGCAGTCACAGCCACCCATGGAACGCCAGCTTTTGTGCACTTTAAAAAGAACTTGGGAGCTTGTCCATCTTGAGCGAGTGAGTAGAGCGTACGACTTGAGGCATAGAGCTGGGCATTTCCACACGACCAGCCGGACAAAAGAATGAGAACGTTGATGAAGCCGGGAAGAAATCCAGTAATGCCTAGGTTCAACAGACCCAAGACCCAAGGAGATGCAGCTGCACCAGCGTCGCCTGACTCGATCGCCCCCATGAGCCGGGGATCACGAGAATTGCAGAGAATGCCGACAGCCAGGACGCCAATAACGTAGAAGAATAAGATGCGGGCGATAATCATCTTTGCCACATTTGGGATAGTCTTTCGGGGGTTTCGGATCTCCCCGGCGGCCACTGAGATGATTTCAGGTCCCCCTACTGTGAAGACGCCATATCGCACTGAGATGCAAACACTCAGGAATATTCCTGCCGCGCCGCTTGTGTAGTAGGGATGGGCAAGGTCGCCGTTCGTCCAGTTTCGGAAGCCGTAAGCATCGTGGCGAGGATTGCCTCCTACCATCGTGATAAAGGTGGCCAGTATGAGGCCTAGGATAAGAAGAACTTTAGTGGAGCCCATGATGAACTCAGACTCACCATACCACCTATCCTGATCAGCATAATTGATGCGCGGTGTGAAATCTGCGAATTATACTTACCTCACTGCCACCATATTAAGAAAGTAGCATACACTCATGGCCATAGCGACCCAAACTGCTGGATTGATGGTTGTGTTCCAATATTGCATGACCGTAGCCACGGCCGAGTACTCGGTGCAGACAAGCATCACACTACCAAAGAAGTATGTCCAGCCCATAGCAAAACCAAGCGCAGGATCCACAAAACGAGCGGCTAATTCATAGATGGAGCCACGGATAGGGAGCCAGGCTACCATCTCTGCAGTGTTCAGGGTGGTGGGCCAAATGAACGCAAGCCCATATATCACGTAGCCGGTGACCAGAGGCAGTGGGCCAGCTGATGCCAAGATGCCGCCAACACCCACGAAAAGACCAACGCCGATACTACCTGCAATTGCCATGAGCTGAAGATGGCGAGGAGATAAGCCTCGTTGAGTCTGCAGTAAAGCCATGTCGGCTTGCCCTCCTAGTCGTGATGACGCTCTGTCATCGCCGGCATCCTTTTTAGCTAACAAGACCGTCATACTTGGTAGACTGTGGGTAAAGGGATGATGATTGCTTTGGCTGGTTTGATGGTTGATTGCCCTAGAATGAGAAAGGAGGACAAAAGGGATAAGGCGTTATTGAATAAGATTAGAGGAAGATTCACAGTCTATATAATAACCAGGAAGGTGGGCCCTTTGGGAAAGCTACAACTAGTTCTTTTTGGTACTTGGGGGTCTCAAAATCAACCCCCCCCCCCCNCCCCACCCCCAGTACTATGGCATCTCTATCTATACTAAGAAACTACTACTCTAGGCTGTTCTGCGGGGAAATCGCTGATTTCGAGGAGAGGGTGGGGCTCCGCATCCACACGGCCAGACGGGTGGGCCTAGGGTGATCCATGGAGAGATGTGCCGAGTCAGTTTGACAAGAGGTACAGTAAAAGTGGTTTTAGGGACCGGCCCGGCTTCTTTCCAGGGACCGGCTCGGCTTCTTCCAGGACCGGCTCGGCTTCTTTCCGTGGATCCTTTTGCTGCCCTTTGGATACTCAAATTGCATAGCATCTCTGATGGTTGCATAGAGGATGACAGAAGTCATGAACCCCGGGCAGTAACTAATCTGATGGTAGCCCAAAGCTGCCCGTCTTTAACTGCGTGGCTCGTGGCATTTATGGAGATGGAATTGCATCGCCTTGTCTCGCCATCGACTGTTCGTCGCAGACTCCTGCTGGGCGATCTGATGGCACGGTTGCCACCCAGTGCCAGCCACGTGTTCATATATGGCCGAAACTCGGCAATTATGGGAAGACTCGGCACGAGAAGGGCGAAGTGGTCGTCGAAGTCATCGACGTAACCGCCGTGAATAGCGCGGTTAGCATGCCGGAACAATTCCCACGCGGAGCTGGTCGGAGCCAGCGCATGTCTGGCAGTCCGAGGACCACAATGGCGCTGGGCTGGTTTAACCAAAGGGCCAATGAATCAAGGTGAAGCTGTTCGCATAACAAGCCGATGGTGTAGCGGGTATCACGGGCCTCGGGGCGCATGGTGTAGATCCAGTTTCCACAATGGGCAGGATAGGATGTACGCCTCTGGATTACACCGGGGGAGGACGACGATGCGGATCGTGGCCAAGCGCACTCGCACCGGCCTTGACGCATGCAATGCCCGCAAGCCGGCTGCTGCTCATCACACTTCTTCTTAGTGCGGCGACCTGGTGTGGTTAGGAGACTGCGGCCAAGACGCTGGGTTTACCACAAGTACAAGTGAGACAGGCCCGGTTGGACCGCGGTCGGCGGGACTTGGCCGAGTGCTCGACCATGCCGCCTGACCACAGCTAAAAGTTGGCAAACATCATGTTGTCTGGTGTTCCTTTGCTGGCAAAACGGCTTGGCCAGCTGAGCGTCTATGTACATTGTACGGCTGAGTTGTCGCTGACGGGTGGAAGTTGGAGATGCTGAGTGTGTGGAGGTTAGGGCGGCGGCTGTCCTTGTTCGAAGTAGTGCGGCGGCTGTCCTTGTCTGGATTAGTGCAGCGGCTCTCCTTGTCTGGATTAGTGGCACTCGTGAGGCGCAAGTACGACTTCCCCCGTAGAGACGGAAGCTGCCGTGCTATTACCATATTACTCGCGTGCTTTGCGTACTTTCCTGTGTCCCTTTTGACGAGCACGCGTTATTTCTCGCTGTCGGGCGGTATCCGTGTTTCGCTCTAGCGGCATGGGCAGAGACGGCAAGAATGTGACTCTCTTCCTCGCCTTTCTGGCTCGAGAGCACCATCATCAAGGCAATCCACAGGCCACGACGGAGGGGTCTGTGCCGAGGAGCTCCAGCCGGGGTATCTTCATCAACCCCGAAGCCTATCCACAGTGCACCGCTCGTAAAGAAATCAGTGTATGATTTGCTGGAGGAAGGTAGACATATCAATATGCTGAATAAGACGTTATCGGTCATTATGGGTATAGATACCAGACATCCGCCAAAGGCCTGAACCTCCGCCAGGCAGTTGCCAGGTCTTTCAAAGTTATAGAAAAGATAATAAAGAGTGTTTTTCGAATTGGTACGTGCTTCTCTCTGGGGGATCACTGGTAACTGCATGAAATAGTCGGAGTCCCCTCCAAGTACCGGTTCCCGTCTGGTATAATAATCCCTCCTACCTTCCACGATAATGCTACTCTATAGCACGGAGGGATCAAGGTATACGCTAAGCAAAAAGAGGCAATGTCCGAATTTTCTTTCCTATTCTAGTTAAAATGCGTGACTCTAATTGGTTACGAAGTGTATTATATAATCGATAATGATATTAAGCAGATTCAATCGAAGAGCTTTGGAAGATTGATTGATTGATACGGAGACCTGAGCTCGACTTGATTGAAACTTGACTTCCTTGATTGGTATATTGATTGGAGGGCAGCGCTGTGGAAAATATCCTGGATGGTAAAGACGGAAAAAAACGCACGAGCGCTTGTACTCTTTGACGTTGCATATGTGCCAAGGTTCCATACGAACATCGTCAGTGCTAGGAGACTTGCGGGGAAAGGGTTATGGCATTGCGGAGTCGACAACACCTTTCGAGTAGGAACCTATGGGGATAACGATATCCTCTATCGGCTTACCGACCACTACGACCTCGGTGTAGTCGACTACAAGCCCATTTCCTGCCCCTACTACTTGCTCCCGCAATCACCCATCTCAGTGTTCAACGCCTTCCAAAACGTATTCTCCTCTTTCCAAGCGGACGACGCCTAGCTAAAGCGACAGAAAATGGCGATCTCAAGGGCTCCACTTCCGCCTCGACAGGACACTGCCGAACTATGGCATCTTCGCGCTTGTCACGCAGAGCCACAAGCGCTAGAACAACTCGTCTTATAGACGAAGGGAGTACGGATCAAGTGGTAAGTATGTTGACGAGCGCTACAAAACAGTGGCTGACCATAGCCCTAAGAAGTGTTCGCGAAGGGGCCAGATCTAACAAGGTCTAAGCGCTACCCCGTTGTGGGTGAAAAAAAAAGCTTTTGCCAAGTTCGCCGATATCTTCTCAAAGTTGACATCTCAGCCAGCAAGTTTCGATCCCATATCGCTCGAGGAATGGGGGAAGATCGTCTCGGCTCGAGTGGGTAGCGGATTTGAGGAAGACATCAAGCAAATGATTGAATGAATTGCTGCGGCCCCGGTTGAGAAGGTCTAGTACGGCACAAGTGATGCATCGAAAGATTTATCATACGAGGACCTCGGCCTCAAAGCCTCAACTTTTAAGGACTGGATTCGCAGGACGCAACAGGAAGGACCGCCAACGAGAGTCCATAAGGTCGCACTATTTCAAGCTGATAGAAAGAGAAATGGAGCGCATATTGTACACATTTACTTCGTAATTCAAGTGAAACTGCAGTTTAAGCATACAGATTAAGGAATGCCACACATGGCCTATGGGATCATGGCTTTGTGATTCGCACTCGGTAGTCGCTCTCGACTAGGGTCCATAAGAGCTCCAGAGCTTCGCTCAGGAGCTCGCACCCTGTCAGACAATTGGCTCCCGTAAATCAAACTGCTTTTATGCCATGGCAAGGTATCGTGCCGCAGTCCACTCTCTGCATCGTCGGCCCCAGATAATCATCGGCACCGTGAGCAAGGTAACGGCAATGCAGAGACAGCCAGAAAGGGCAATCATGTTATACAGGCCCATCTTCGCAATCCAGGGACTCAAACAGAGGGCAGTGAGAGTGCCAAAGGCGTTGCGGACAACCACGACACCGATGCTTGCATCACCAATTACCTACAGGACGTGCACGGCCATTAGTTTGTTCCCGGCGACAGGGTATGACGATCGAGATCTTTTACTTACATCTCTGTACGAGTCCAAGAGATATACAACGACAACATTGCTCAGGGCTGTGCTTCCAAAGCCAAAGATTCCCAAGCCAACAGCGGGGATATACCATGGCATGCCCTATATAACCTGTCAGCGGCCACATCTCGCAAGCCAAGAAGATTCGTGTAGCCTGCCTGTGAAACAGAGAGCCCAAACATGAAGTACCCAGCAGGTATAATTACAACACTAGGCAGAGCAAGCCATAGACGCATCTCGGGCTCGTAAACTCCACCGTTTCGTCTCGCGAGCCATTGAATACTGTAATCGGACAACTGCCCACCGAAGAACCCGCCTAGAATGGAGCCGATGAAGGTGGGAATGTTGAGGAGCCCCACACCTGAAGAGGAGAAGTTGTATGGAGGCAAAGTGAAGTATATCGCTTGCACATTTAGCAGGATGGCAAGCCAGGCAAGCTGTGACCCGTGCACCAGGGCGACAAACGCAACTCCGGGAAAGGTAAAAAGAATGAGAAAGGGCCGATAGATATGTATGAAGAGCGCACTACTCCCACCACTAGCAGTGGTGAAGAGCGACATCCGTTGCCAATATGATTTGAGTGGAATGTCGGCCAGCGTGTTGCTTTGTTCGGTAGCTAACGTGTCTGCGCTAGTGATTTTGCTTTTCCGGTTTTGCTCAATGCCATCAATGTCGTCCGGAATGTCACCTCGAACCATGGGTGTATATACGGTCTCCTCGTAGCAAAAAGCAAACAAGAGCAGTGTCACTCCAGCTAGAATAGAGCTCCACCACCATATCCTAGATTCCAATACAACGTGTCAGCTTCGACATGTACACAGGAGGAGCAGAATGACATGGAGAGCGAGGAGGCAGGACGGAATGATCTCTCGTTTGCTTACCAGCGCCAGCCTTGTGAAGCGGCAGAGTAACCAGCTGCAACAGGCGCCAGGTAAGTACCGGTGCATATCATGATGGTGAGAATGTTTGTCCGCGAGCCGCGTTGGTGCACGAAGAACAAGTCGGCCATCGTCAGAGCGCAAATTGTCTCAGTGATTGAGCCTGCCAACCCGGAGACTATGTTGAACCCGAACAAGTCGCCAAGGG